GCCAACTGGCGAAGCAGGATGTTCTGAATGCGTAACGAAGTGCATTGGTTGAGTAGACACTCGCTGATTATAATTGAGGATCTCTGGTCCCAAATCCGCGCGATGTCATTAGCGGCGGACTCATCTTTATCGAGCAGATCTGCTAGCAAACCTAGGCATTGGTCTCTACCCAGTCTCTATAACTACTTGCTACTTCTCGACACCAAGCTGAATGCAAACACGAGAATTGAAAAAATCTACACTGATAACTTCGTCTTGTCCTGAGTAGAAATCGTCTTCATGCTATCACTGTGCATCGGAGATGGGAAAGTGGCTGCTACCCTTGGTAATCATCAGAAGTTATTTCTCCTTATACTGGAAATGCACAGTAGTCGATATGGTTTTAGCAAACCATACGCCACGCGAAAGCAGACAGCCAATCTACAGGTTGTCAAAAGTCTTGGAGCGTGGGACCGAACACCTTGAAACACAATTTTTTATCAAGCTGAGTTTTCATTTTCCTCTTCGGGTATTAATTCCGCTACGCCATGTACCGTGATTTTGGACCCACACTCACGCGCAGAAGTCGCACGCGAGATCAGACTGCTGCGACTGAATAAGACTCCAGCTTTTGTAGATCATTTACAAAACTTCACTAGTGAAGCTGTGGCAATACGAGACTATCCCAAGCGACTGGAGCCGCTCCGTTATCGTCCCAATTTTCAAAGGAGGCTCACGTTTGGGATGCTTTAATCATAGAGGAATCAAGCTGATCTCATTTGCTTTTAACTTACTTCCTCTGTGGTTCTCCATAGCCCGACTGGCACTCATGAAAGCCTAATTTGCGAGCAGCAAACCGGGTTTCGTCGGAATCGCAGGTGTGTTGACCACATCTTCACGCCAGTTTTTGGTACACTACCACCTTTATTGGCGGTCCCCGGAAGTCGTGTTCCTCGATATCAAAGGTGCCTTCGATTCGGTGGATCGATGTGTCCTTTAGAGCTCTCTGCTGAGAAACGGTGTGCCCGATAAATATGTAAACATTATCAAAGCGCTGATGATGATGATGATGATCAAAGCGCTGTACGCACAGAGTTCGGACATGGTAATGGTTTTTGACAAACTTTCGCCGCCCTTCAAAGTCTCCAGTGGTGTAAGCCAAGGTTGCCCGCTTTCACCTTTCCTCTTCAACTTCTTTTTTGACGAAGTCGTAGAAAGGGCATTGGTTGGGCATGATTTAGAAGGTGTGAACCTGCTCCTATGTGACCGACTCTTTGTCTTGGAGTTTGCCGACTACATTGCCCACATCTGTGATAGCTTTCAAACGTGCCAAACTGCACTGGAGAGATTAGCACTGGCTGTCAGTCGTTTTGGGCTATACTTTGCACCGTTCAAACGCAGTCCTTTTCCATGATTGACCGGGACACACCCCTTCCCTGACTCTCATTGGAGATCAGTTCGAAGTCGTTTCGAAATTCCACTGCGTGCGCATCTGTATCATCGTCCTTGGAACAGAAGATCAAATGACAAGCGTTATAGTCATGTGTGTAGGTGCTTTTGCTCAGATTCGCCATTTAAGTAGTCAGTGTGTGCGTGATTTTACCGTGCAGTCGTGCGTTCACCCCTTATGTACGGTCTTCGAAACTTGGCCCATCAGATCGGCAGACATATAAAGGTTAGTTGTACCCAACTACCGGTGCGTTCACAGCTTATCTCACATCTGGTTGCATCTTTTTGTGAGCAGTGAGCGCGTGTTACGCATGTCAACCCACCGACTCCCGCGACTTGCGTTGTTTGCACGCCAGACGTGTGGATTGAAGAAGAGGACGGGTGGCCATGCGATGACTTGTCGAGAGGAATGAAGGCCCTCACTTCGGAGCTGGCCTCGGTTGGAGCGTCTCGGTTCCCTGGTTGGGGTTCGAAAGACGATGAACACGTTCGGCTGGATAAACTTGCTGATATGGATAGGAGTCGACCTCAGTGGCGTTCGTGTTGTGAGTTTCTTTGTCCCACCCCATCTCTCTTAGCCTCCCCCTGCAACCACGATCTCACTATTTAGCCTTATATAATTTTGCATAGTAATTTTTTTTGCTGCATACTAGTCGGCTGGTAGCTTATCGCAACGATGCACATCCGTTACGGGTAGCTCAGCTGGTTTGCACCTGTTGCATTTTTTCTCCTTTTTTCTATGTATTGCGGCACAGTAGCTGAGGTGTCTTCCACCTCTAGTTACCGTGTATATTGATAATGATGCTGAGTGTGCGTGTTCTGCGTCTGTTACTTGATACAGAAAAAACGACTCAGTCGCTTAGCACTGTTATATGAGTCGTCGTTAAACTTCCTTGACTATTGTCACAAAGGATTGATCTTCAACCCTAATTTCACTTTAAATGTTTTCCTTTTTCCAAGCAACTCCCTTGGAGTATGATAATGCACTTTCTCATCCTTCTCTACCACGCTTGCTGCACTACTAAGTCTCCTCCGGGGTTTTCCACTGCTGAGTCGTCACAGTCTTCTTGACATTGTCACCACTTCAGAACTGGTCATCTTGACAATCTCCTTGAGGTTGTGGAGAAAAATATCACGCGGTGTCTGGTCGGGGAGTAGCACGGTTGCTCCATTGAGGATATGTTTTTCTCAGCTACCAACTCTCGGATACTCCAGTCACTGTGATTACGTGCGTTGTCATGGTGAAGTATCCACGAGTGGTCCTGCTACAACTTCCCCCTCTTCTCACACGCTTATCGAAGCAGATGCTGCAGCATCTCTTTGTAAGCATGTGGCAAGAGCTCGTACTAGACGGTCGTTCACAAGTCGAAGAATGTGATCAACTTTTACTGTGGATTTCTAGTGCCGTGCTTTCTTCCGCCTTGGCGACATCGGACATTCCCACTAAAAGCCTCGGTGTTTGGTCTCCAACAGTTATTCACCGCGAGAAACCTCATCGTACTGAAGCAACCTCTCTACTCACTCGGGTTATCTTCGTGTTTTTTTTCCAATCTCAAATAGGTCATGATGGGAAGCTGTTCTGAAGTTATGGACAATATCAGATAGGCGATGACAACGGAGTTAAGGGAGGATCCCGGAAAATTCCCTCCAGGTAGGCATGACAGCTTGGTGCCGAAAGGTAGGAAAGTGCATTAGATTCCAGACGAATTAAATGGAGGGGGAACACTTAGTGTTTTGGTTTGAACAAACTTTTATAACACCAGTGCTGTAACCTGACGCACATATCACGCACTGGGCTCCGAATTCCGTGATATACGTTGTTTCCGCGACCGGTACGTGGATGGAAGAAAAGGATCGGAGGCGAATCGATGACTATGTCTAGTGGAATGAAGGTTATGACCAAGTTAGCCTCGGTTAGTTCCTTCCAGTTCCCTCTGGAGTCCGAAATTCGCTGAATACGTTTGGTTTAAATCACCTGTTTACATGCTTAGGATTCGTTCAGTCAGGTTCAGTCGCACAACCATGATCCGGGCACCTAAGTTGCCACGATTCACATCGCCAGGACAACAATATATAACATCGGTGAGAAAATGAGGTGGAACACAAAGTAAATGAACTACTGGTTACGCCTATATTTATTCCTGCTCTCTACTTTTCCTATTTTTATTACCTTCAAACAATGCAACACGGGGAAAACCTCTGCGAACTGCGGTGTAAACCCCTCAAAAAATCTTGCTCTACCATCCGATTATGTTGCACAGTATGATTGGACTAACTAGTTGGTCTGTGTCTCTCAATATCGAGGTATATACCATTTATCCAATGCTTTAAACGAATCTGGATAGGGTGAAAATAACAATGCAAGGATCGGAGTGCAGAAACGCTAATGATAGGGTCTGATAGGGTCTCCAACCACTGGCGTAGACTCTCCACTGATACCCATCCACCAGTCTGACCAAGTCTCTCGATCAGTTTCTTCCTGTCTTTGTACAACATCCTCTATTGACCGCTTCAGGTTTCGCCCAGCGACGGTGCATAATGTACGCCGAGAAATCCGGTCAGCGGGTATACGGAGGATGTGACCCAGCCAACGTAAATGATTAAGTTTTAGCAATCAGGAGCGTTTGTGTTGCGAGTTTCTTTGCCCCATCCGCTCCTGTTTAGCTTCCCCTCCAGCCACAATCTCACACGCGATGTTTAATGCGAATTAAGCATCATATTACTTGTTTTTATGTTTTATTTTGTAATCTGTAATATTTGTTGTCTCATTTTTTCGCGTATTTTATTCTTTTGTTTTACGACACAGTGTTTTCCACTTATAACTAACGTGTAATGATGTTGATGACGATGAGCCACGGCGATCGTTGGTGGACTATCCGTGGACAATCCTTGTTCAGCTTGGAAGAAGAGCGCGAAGCTTATTTCTGTTCCGGTTTACGAAATCGCATCCAACTATTGCACTCTACACTCTCGTATACAGCCTCTGTGACATACCATCCGAACATTCATGAGCAATCTTGTCAGCGTTGTTGTTGACCCTGAGCCACTGCTTCGATTGGGGTCCACCTGTAGCGCATGAATAATCGGTTGCCTCTAAGCTTATTCAGACGTCATCCTCTGATGCAGTGTTCTTTCAAACGAGCACGAACCATGGCATCCAGAGAATCAGTCCGAATTTCGGTGCAACGTGAACAATTGGACGTCAGCGCTATATTTTTGGAGACTGTGTCAGCTAAATTTTCTGACTCGTGTTCTTCGTCTAAAATCACTAAAATTAACCACTTTTTCACTTTTCGCTGGTACTCCTTTGTGATTTATCTTTAATTACAAAGATTAACCAACTACCACGTAATCGGGAAGAGAACGAAGCGCTAACCGTGTTTGAACCTGGATGCTTCAAGTTACTAGTCTAAATGCCCAGAGCTTTAAAACATTATACCACCCCAAATCTGTCGGCGTTATGACAATATTACTCGGTATCGGCAGAAAGGCCTCCTTGTTGCATTCACTGCCCCGCATCATAATCAACCTTACCGACAGATACGCGCAGGCTGTCCGCTTAAGAGGAGACTTGCAGCACCGGGTTGAATACACAGAGCATATTGACAGACTTGTTTGGGACAGTTTCTCGGAAATCGTTTAGCTCGCTTCCGGGCGAAATTTAGCGAAGATTAGCAGCGGACTACTTCGGGATCAGAATATCAACACGGTGTTCCAGAATTGGCCACAGTCATGAATGATACCACGTCACTCCACGTATATAACAATACGATCAGTTTTGGTGCATCGATTACCAGCGACCGGTGATTGTCAGGTGGAACATCGACATCCATCGTGTCTGGAAACGATACGGCTTAGCGACTGCCGGTAATAACGCTTAACTGCAGATAACAATCACCACTGTTTTCTTCTTGAAACTTACTTTACAGTCTTAAGGCAGTCCAAGTGACCTACTTACACTTACATGTCTCCTCAACCAGAACTTCGTCCGAGGTAATAACACTGTACACTCACAAGTTCGGATGGCACTCCCGCGTTGCACGGATTTTTGGAGCATCATGAATTGCTTTTCCCTGTAGCATATAGACTATTGCATGGTTATATTGTCGTTTTTACGTGTGTATGCTAATTAGCATACCGCACTACTCCTGTATCACGAAATCATACCTCCGCAAGTAGTTCGAACCCATTGTTTTTCAACTTCATCCTACTTGTCTTTCATTCGTTATCCGTCTGATTTTGTTCGTACATTCGTTTTTCTCTCTAGATAACCCCTTACTTCCACCAACTTTTTATCCATTTGTGTTCACTTTTTTCGCCCCAGGTCGATGTGATTCTCCATATGGAATTGAATCATTTTATGTCCTTCGAATCAGTATTATCAGCGGCCCGACGCTATCTACATCCCGAGACTGGTCGTATATTTCCTCGACACTACCGTATGCATTTGTTGGGTATCCATTCCGGAAAGTCGTTGCGTCACACCCATTGTGATGTTTGGACCGACTACAAAATGTCCGCTTTACACCGTGCGTCACTTTGCAAAGTACATCTCATGGATGTTTCAGCCGCTCTGGGATCTGACGCTACTGACTCATGCCACATATTAACTTCGACGCCGTGTGTTCTCTACGACCTCGATTTGTTGCAACTGACTCGGAGTAAATCAGACCACAGCACTGCCTTCCCATCTTTACGCGAGTATCCGTTCTCCTTCACCGTTGGCACTTCTTCTGAGTCGCAAGCCAGCGTTGTGTTGGACGCCGTCGTCGCTTATTTTGACGTTCGGTTTGACGATGATGCACCGACTCCGGTGAGTCCCAATCGCTGTCTCGTTTCTTGGAGGGTCTCGTGGCTATTCGGGATCTCGCACTCCAGGATCCCTATAATTTTTCGTCGGTTTTGACCTCTTTTCAACCTGTGTCTAGCAATAGTCTGATCAGGCAATTATCCTCACCATACTAACTTACCGTATGTTACCGAATATAAGCCCGTCCATAGATTAGCCGACGCCTAAAAATATCAGCAGTAGAGAAACGAATTCATTTCTGCACCAATTTCACGTCATCACTACCTGCTCACGGTTGAGTGAGTTAATGTGATAAAATCTGCTCTATTATTGATCCGTTGGGGTGACCGTAATGTATTATACTCGCGGTTAATGGGGTCGTAGGGCACTCAGAACAAAGACTTTCACCGTACCAGACAGTGCATTGACCAAACAACTCACATAAAACAAGTAAGACAACCGACAATGTAGGTTAAGGTAAGAGTTTCAGACAGGCCGCCTCGCACCGTCGGGGGCCTCATACATATGAACCACAGTAGAGCAGTTGGTGAGGGCGAACTTCGCAGTCAGGAGTGCGGGACGACGTTGTACTTGTTAGGCACCGGATCGCCAAGCACAACATACTGTTTAAGGGCTTTTGATTCGCTACCGCCATCCATCGCGAACGTCAAATGTGCAATATACCAAGAATTTTCGTTAAAAAGTGACGTGTCCAAATATTGACACTAACTTTTCATCTGCAATACCGTCCGTCATTAGCAGGTTGTGCTAAGTGGAGTTAAGAGCAGTGGTGTGCAGTGAATTCCTAAGTGGATTTTTCATGTGACCTTTTTCGAATTTCCTATAGCCTTTAATAAGCCGACCGCCCCGCTACACAAAAGACGTAAGTTGTCCAAAATTCCTCGGCTTATGTTCGGTACTATACGCTATTTACACCATCATTCTAAACTCAGGTGCGTGTTCTCTCTTAAATAAATAAAATAATGCGTCACCTCTACGCCGTGACGGCGCTTCGCTGTCGCGTTACCATCATCGCGGGTTGTATACTGCGAGGGCACCCATCCCTACGCGGATTTGAACCCCTGACCTTATGGTTGCAAAGCAGGCGCGCAGACCACTCAGCGACCGGCCGACTCTCTCGAAACATTTAGCTTAATGAATGTATTAACCTGTTGCTGACAGCGTAGCAGTAATTTAAAGCGATAAGAAAACATGACCGTATGACTACATCGTTGATATACGAATTCGCCCGCTGCTTGCTCCCTTCCGCAACACTTATCTGCCTACCAAAGCCAACGAGATCTCGCATTTGGATATTTCCCTGTTCAGATTGTTTGCTAGTAGCACCGGAGCGCTTCTTGGGATTTAGATTCCATCTTATCTTCGTTTGACCAGTTTTCTTAGTCATTTGTTAATGCTTATTTCCCTTCGCCTACCTCTGCCTACGGCCATATTTGTCATTGCTAATTCTATACTTAAGGATTCTCTCCCTCGCTATAGTCATATGCATGAACGTCCCACTATACCTTACTTACTGTAGCTTTGAGATAACGTCCGTTGTAACATTAGTTCGAAATTTGGTTATGATTTGATTCTACCTGTTTCATCTCAACCCACCGCTTGTGACGATCTAATCACAGCTTTATCTTTTGTGTTTTACATTTCCCTAATATTTTAAGGGATAGGTTGAGCGACATTTTTCACTGCACTGTTACGGGGATCCCACAACGCCCTATATCACTCACCTTTGGCACAGACACACGTCCACGTGAACTCACATGTCCCGACACTCCTAGGGTTAGTCCTGGTACTTATGTGAGCCCACAAGTTCCGCTACACTCCCTACTTCACATTCGACTGCACAGACTGTACTATGTGCAGGTCCACACGTGTCATATAACCGGGGTTGTGCAGCTTTGTACTCGCCTTAGACGGGTCGTAAAGACACTACCGCAACCGTTATCTCTCTGGTATGTCGTTTGTGAGCGTTCGAGTCGCGTGCATATGTGGGAAACAGTTGCAACGAGGCTGTTTCGTTCGCTTTGTGAGCGGAATTCACCGGAACCTAGTCTTCGTTCTGACTAAGCGAGCCGTCACCACTTGACTGTCATAGCGTATGCATTCCCTTTCCTTCTCTCCCCCAGGATCTTAAAATGTCGCTTTCGACCGTGTCCGGCTGGCGAAGAACAATTCTAGTTTGTTCCCCAACATGAAACAGCTTTCGATGTAGCTCATCCTCAACATGCCACTCTAAATCCGATTTCCTCTTTGTTTTTAGTCCTGAAGCATGTTATAGCATCTGGGATTGGAATCCAGCACACGAGGCCAGGAGACTCTTTGATCACGAATCATCTGAGCTACACTGCAATACTCGGCGCATTAGCTACGCGTTATCCGTCGCTTGGATTTCGGATTTCCCATTCCGTTTTCTTTTGGGCCACATCGTCTCAGGTTGGGCTGTAATTTAATCTTAATCGGAAGCAAACTATTTTCGGCGCTGTTCGCTCACACCGATGTAATCGTGCTTTGTATTCTTCAAGCGGTGATGATTGCAATGGAAACTAACACGTATGGCTTCCAAGAAAACATCTTGATCGTTGGACCATTTGTGTTACGAGTAGTCTCGTCTCTGCTGCTGCCTGGTGACGGGCGAGGAGCTTCAGTAGACTAGCAACACCTATATGACTGGTTTCACTCACTTTTAACGGCGTCACGCTGCTAAACGCAAAAGGAGTTGATATAATAGACAACGTCGTTGTTCGCCATTATCCCCCAATCGCAAGCGCTCCACAGCGTATGCTGCAGCTGGCGCAAGGCGTTCTCGCGTTGACTTGTACTTTGATACAGAATACTTTGCTGCGATTGTCCGCCCGTCACCACCAGTTTCTCTCATCTGGTGATAGAACGAATGTTTATCGAATGGCTACTGGTAGAGTCAATATGTGTGCGCCAAGGTAGTCATTTTTCGGAATACACACTCCTGTGCGTGTTCATCATTAGTATTCTCCATTCATCCGTTAGGCGCACGCCAAGGACTGATTTGCAAATAGACTTAGTGCTCATACTACGATACAGCATTGGCATCGCGGACTGCTACAATGGCATTTCATCTCCTGTTTTGTTCCACGAATCGGACATTCCGAGAGCGATTGGGCTTAATAGAACATGTCTTTTAAAGATGCTCTTGACTTACAACATTTGCCTATTAAGGAGGAACCATCAAGCACACAAGTGTATCTTACAGTTTAGGATAGAATCTGAAGTGAGAATTCACAGCGCTGCTATGTAATACGAATGTTCCAATTGATGTTACTGTCACTGTAACTTCGATTTGCGGTCACATCGTGGAATTTCCGTTCTTGGTTGTCGAAATCTTGTTATCAAGTTTCTCAAACTCCTTGTTTCCTTTGCTTGAATGTGTCAAGACTTGATTCTAGCAGTAGGCATGCCCGTACGTAGCCAACACATAAGAGGAAAACGTGCGTACGGACTACGGTAGACTCGACACATGCAAAGAATGGATGTTTCTGTGCGTCCTTGTGTGTGGATAGGACCAATCAGAGTAGAGCGAGCATTGGTCAACGATCGTGAGGCGATCATGTGACAGAATTAATTGGGCGATCTTCGCAGTTTCAAAATCAGTTACATCTACATTACCGGCAAAACAGGCGACGGCCGTTTCCTTCGCTCGGGATTCTTCAGTAGTGTGCATCCATCGGCTCTATCATGGTCCGAACACGTAACATCTAGCGGATCGCAGTGCTAGGCAGCAGCCTAAGCCGCTTCTCCATGGGAGATATCGACTAACGTACGTGATCTACAGGTTAATTGCAATGTAACGCATGTGTACAGCATGTGGTCACCAGGCTGATTCCCAACTTATGAGGTGTGCCGTACGAAGACCGGTGTAAGAAACTAGGGCTGTACATCCTAGCTTATCGTCGACTGCGGGTTGATCTCATCATGACGCACCGGATATTACATCTGGGAGATTACCTCATGTTGAGGCCGCTGCTTCATCTACGCACACCAAGCAGCACACGAGGTCACCGGTACAAGATAGTCGTACCGGATTTGAAGCGGGTCGCCCACCAACTCTGTTTCGAACGCAGAGTGGTGAATGTATGGAACGACCTGTCGCAGCACGTAGTTGAGGCAAAGTTGTTATCGGAATTTAAAATGGACAAACACTGCCGACATAAAATATATCGAGCGCACCACAACATAATTTGTCTTTGTCCCTGAGTGACATTAGATGCAGCTACACAGAGAAACCTCTACTTGCTGCTTCCAACCAGTAATCAGAAGCAGTCTCGGTTACTCACGTCCAAAATTGTTTGCTCATGAATGCGTGGACATGTTACCTTATTCAGGATTCTTGTTACTGTTGTGCCTCATTTGCGTACACTCACATAACTGTGACGAGTTGAAAACCTCTCCTCATTCGTGCACCAATCACGCGCGTTTGAACCGATTGGCATCTCCTAGGCACATGCATCATGTTTGTTCGGGATGGTATGCCTAGAGAACTTCTCATAGACTGTTGTATTTTGTTGCGTGTTTTTAAACCCATATATTGTCCTTTATTTCATTCCATTCAGTCGAGTTTTTCCACATCTCCGTCTTCTGCTCAAACGCATTGGAAACATGCAGTCCTTTTTCTCAATACACCCATCCAAGTCGAGCACGGTAAGCACTGTTGAAGTCTGGCATGCAACCCTCATCCATTCTTACTTCCTTTCGATCACCTGTCACTTTACTGTTAATATGACACCATATACTAAGCCTTATTCCAGTCACCTTCCTCGTACACCGGAACCTACTTTTTAATTGCTCTTATTGTAATTGCTTCATGCTTATTTAGGGCCAACGGACTTGAAATTTCCGCCTTTGCCGCATCTGGCTATCATAACATGACCACAGCAACTGAACACTGTTCGATTGTGCGAAATCACGAATATATGTATATATATTTATGTATATGTATATCGCGCCATATGCTGTGCCTGATGTTGCATTCATGATGCTTCTTCACCGCAGTTGGGCTAAACCAACTTACACTTAAACTAGGTCTTTGTAAACTGGATAAATTTCATTCCACTTTAATTGGTTCGTTCTGTGTATCTGAATAATCTATTAACTTGCACACGTTGCTTACGCTAATTGCGCTTATCTTCGATTACTTTGTTTCGTTTGTAGCATTTTTAAGTAACTTGTGGACATTTTTTTAATTATCGCGGTTTCGTTACTAACCAACTTACTTCATATGCTTATTTAGCGAAGAGTTATGCCACCGTATCTGTATGCATTAGTCGATTTATTTTTCTTCATCTTGTCGTTTCAAATGAATGGCTGTTGCTTGATATCCCTGGTGTGGCTTCGCTTAATGTGCATGTTGACAAGGTGCCTACCTGTCTATTACCCACTACCTCGTTCATACTGGCTCCAGGAGACAGTTGGTCGTTGCTGGAGCGGACTGGGTGCCCGGTCCTTGTGGTCGTGCTAGGCTCGACGAGTGGTTCCATGCACTCAGGGGTGGGCGTCCTCGCGGTATACTCAGCCCGCGCGCGACTGGTGGTGGTCGCGCGGCAGCGAAGCGCCGTTACGGCGTATAAGCTGACACATCATCATCATCATGCACTCCGTGTGGAGCGGACTACGGTCCAGCCATTGCATTGTGTGCGCTTGATTCCCAAATGCAGCGTGCTTGTGTTTGTCTGCGAAGGAGTGTGGGCCCGCTCCGTTGATGAAACGTGGCTCCCATCCGCATGCCTCCCGGTCTTATTCCTTCGGGTTTACACTGGATATGGGGTGTGTGGTTGGAGCTGTGAGTGGTGCAGCGCAAGCCACCCATGGTCCCTCTGTAGACCCAGGCGTCCGGTGGCTTGCCACAGTGACAGACAAATCCGAAACCGGATGCCGGCAACCAGTTGATCTACACTTGCCACGGTAAGCATGTGTGTCACCGTATACCTGTTGTTTGGTTCTGCGTACTACATTTGTTCGGGCTGCACTACCGATGGTTTCAAACGAGTGGCCTATACCCCTGGATACGTCTGCATTCCTACCCCCATTTGTGTTTCATTTGGGTCATCTCTTCCTGAATCAATGGTGGTTACTACGGGCACAATTCCTGGTCTCACTGAATCGTGTTTACGCTTTGTTTGCGGAGTTTTCATTAGTACGACACAGGCTGCCGCTGATCATTTCGTATGCCCACTCTACATGCCGCTATCCGTAGTTTAACAAAAATCACATAACCCTAGACGTCTGCAGCTAACCATCACCATTACGCTTGAGTAAACTTGTATCGCTCATTATTTGCCTCACTTCCACTGGCTTGCACTTTTTAAACGTACTCCGTCGGTCCATATTCTAGGTCATGTTTTCGGATGGAACATGTTTGTTATATGTGGTACACGTTTGTGCAGACAAGCAGTTCCACCTTGTCTTTCTTGTTCACACCTGGCGGACTACAGTAGATGCCCGAACGTCTGTGCTGGCTCTCTGATCTATGAATCAACTCGGGCAAACACTAGATTTGTTCTGTTTTGATCCTACTTCCTTTAAATGTGATCTATCTTTATTACCTGTCTCTCTCTTACGTTCAGGTGATCTTGTTACCGGAACAGTTTCCATTCATCGTCGGGCAGACCCTAAGTGTTCTTTGGATCTACAACTTTGTGTGAACGCTTTGCGTGATCAACCGGCTCTTCGACAGCGCTACTCGTTCGAGTGGTGAACACTGCTCTCTCTCTCTCTCTCTCTCTCTCTCTCTCTGCGTCCCCCATCATTTCAGTCAGCGCATTTGCCCCCTTGGACGAAACAATCCCACTTTATCCACAGTGCTTGGAAATATATTGTCTATCTTGAAAGTGTGCGTATCTTCTCTTCTGCTGGCTTTATGACTAAATTTATGGGTATTTCGTCCGCTTTAAGTGTTTGTCATGCTCGCGTTTGTCGGTTGATCCAGTGGCTATTAACCTTCTTTGTTATCGACTTTACTTACACTATTCCTTTTGCCTTTTGTTAACTTTGAGATCAATGATGTGCATCTTCTACCCACCCCACCGTTGTAGCCGTTGCGTCGCTCAACTATCAAGTCCGTTCAGTTTTGTTAATGCCGTTGAATTGGTGACTAATTGCAATATCAGGTGTGTTAGACACAACAACGGCAGCACATCAGCCATGTGAACTGATACGTCGCTGGCATACGACCATAACGAAGTACGGAAAGAAGAATCACAAGAGGGAGAGATGGAGGACTTACTTGAAAACCTTAATGCTTTAAGCAAACAACATACCGGCACAAACAGCTGGCTATCGATGCAGGATGAACTTTATGTTTGAACAAAAGTCATGGTATTATGGGGGCTGAGATATTGCCAGGGCGCCCAGACCTGGACAGGAGGGTCCTCAACGCAAAGCCTTTGGCTCAAAACCCTGTCCGCAAAGCAGCGGGGAGGTCGAAGTGATTTCGTTTTACAGAAATGGACGCCATCCCATTTCAAACCCCCAACCTGTAGGACCAGGAGATTGAGTTTATCTGATCTCTAACCATTGACCAACCTGGTAGGAGTAGCTCTCAAGGGGCCCGGAGGCACCACCGAGTATAGCCCAATGGGTCAAGGAGGTACGCAAACTCTCACACCACGTTAAGGTCCAGTCTCGTGTTACGCACGGATACCAGAGACACCGCGTATTCACGTATGACGACTGCGAGGCCAGGTCAGATCTGATGCGGATTCTCAAATGACGACGGATGGCGTTGACAATGCGGATGGGGAATTGATAGTCGGTTAGATGTTTACCCATTTGTGTGTTGTGCACCTTGATGCTGCATAGTGATGTCCGTTTTATGAGTCGGTGTGAGCTAAGGTACTCCCTCAATCACTCATGGTTGCTTGAACGCATGCACCATGCTAATAAATCTTGGGCAGCTTTTGTTACGTCGTCTTCGCGATGACGTGACTATTGAATGCAGCTCATGCAGTGCGTTCAGTGGGCGTAGTATTAATGAGAGTAGGTCAGATGAAAAGTACATTTGCAAATAGCGTGAATGTTCTAGAAACTTGTAAACCGACATAAAATGGTTGTTGGCATCCGGTTTCGGATTTACCTGTCAATGTGGCCAGCCAGAGGACGCCTGCGCCTACAGAGGGACCATGGGTGGCTTGCGCTGCACCACCCTCAGCTCCATCCACACACCCCATATCCAGTGTAAACCCGAAGGAATAAGACCGGGCGCCACGTTTCATCAACGGATCCGGCCCACACTCCACCACAGGCAAACACAAGCACACTGTATTTGGGGAATCAAGCGCACACAAGGAGGTGGCTGGACCGTAGTCCGCTCCACACTGAGTGCATGGAACCGCTCTTCGAGTCTAGCACGACCACAAGGACCGTGCACCCCGTCCCCTCCAGCAACGACCAGCTGTCTCCTGGAGCCAGTATGGACGAGGTAGTGGGTAATAGACAGGTAGGCACCTTGTCAACATGCACATTAAGCGCAGCCACACCGGGGATGTCAAACAACAGCCAATCATTCGAAAGCCGATATTGATTAAAGTAAACGCATATGACGACATAAATACTCGCTTAATGAGCATATAGAAGAAATTGGTTATAAGTGAATCCATGATAAGTACAAAATGTCCGAAGTTATTTTAAAAATACCACGCAATAAAAATACGCAAATTTACCACAATTTGCGTGATCGACGTGTGCAAGTAAGGAGAAGATTATCAAGTACGCAAAACAAAAAATATAAAGTAGAATGAATTTTATTCACCTTAAAAAGACCTAGTTTAAGTGGAGTTTGGTTTAGCCCAACTGCGGTGAAGAAGCATCATGAATGCAACATACAAATACTCCCCTTCTAATAAAAGAGTGCTTTGCTGCGACTAGTCTGAAACAGTTTTCTCATTGCTTTCATTGAGCCACGGCTCGGTCCGATCTGTACACACGTCATTTTGATTGAGTGATACTTATTTTTCCGCTGGAGCAGTTGCCACCGGAGGTTTCAATGGCTTTTTTACACCTCGGTTATGGTCTTATCAATTGATATGAATTCTAGAACATCAATTTCTTCAGATTTCAAACTATCAGCATTAATGGTCTCTGCTACATCGTGTAGCTGAATAATAAACTAGTTAACACATGGTGTAAGAAAGTGGAATCAAACATCATATTGGTGGTGTAGATTGTACCACTTCAGTTGCGTGTACCAGTCAGTTATTTTCTTTCCCGGTCTACTCTATGCTTCACCGACCCCACATGGCGCACGGTTCTAATCTGCCTTCACTGCGTGAGCACTGTGACTCGACCTTCGAGCTTTTGTGTTTGTGGCTTTAAACGTCGATCGCGTGGAGCTCAGGTCTTCAATTATGTGTATCAGCCAGATTACAATGGATACAAACAGCTACTAGTGCGCCAAGAAGAAGAACCAGATTGTGACGAGGCAACAAGGCTTTTCTTTCTCATATTAATGTATACCTGAACTATCTTCTGTAAACTTGCACACGTCGCTTAAGCTAATTGTAGTTAACTTCGATAACATTTTCTCGTTTGTGACATTTTCTTAAAATATTTTTCTGACCTCTTGAACTTATCGCTGATTCATTCGTAATCAATTTTTTATACGCCCATTTCTTTACATAAATGAAGCTTTTATTCTCAGCAAGGCAAAGGAACCCCTTTACAGGTGTGGGGACGTTAAGCAATCTAATTTGAATTGAGACGCTTGGTATGAGGGATAAGTTACATGTCTCGAGGGTAGTTGCTGCGAGATCAGTGGGAGTCTCCGGCTCGGTAATCGAGGAAGAGAAGATTGATAAGATGAAGCTGTTTTGGTGAATGGGTTGCATTTGATGCTCTGCGGTTTCTCATAACTAAGTTTTTAAGGCAGAGGGCCTTCGACTTCTCGCTAACCCACGAAGAGTACGCCGAAACAGAATTAATCCGACCCGTTCAAAGTACTTATTGACAACTACCGTTTATTTTTCGGCGCCTCAATTGTATGTGATTTACCTTATTTAAGGCATCGAAATCTGTGAAGTAGCGTTCTGCATGTGTCCTGAATTACCCATAGCGCCAGAAAGGCACTTTTCTACCGCATGCCTTCTTCTTACTCTTCTACATCGCAATTGTATTCTTTTGTGAATTTTCTGCTGACACTCGATATACTGCTTTGTAGGTGGAGAACACCGGCTGCGCAAGCCTTTCTAGACTGAAAATTATAGCGTGCTACTTGCTTCAAGCGTTGCTTTATGCGTTCACTGAGTGTTTCGCTTTTTCAGGGCCTAGCTTCTTCCACCTATCTATCCACCATCGAGGTAGCCGATTAACTGGTTTAGTCTAATGTGTCCTTTCTAGCAGTGACATCACCGAAGGGGCTACCTATCACATTCGTAGGGCCGATGTGGCTTTTCAAAGTCCAAAAAAATAATTAGGCGGTCCGACATTAATCTGTCCCATCTGTTGTCACCGTAATGATCAGAGACACGACTATTGCACGTCAAAGACACTAAGGGTGGGACTGGTCATTTCAGATAACCAGGATATCTAAACCATTGTCGATATCTGTTGTGACAATCCGGTAAGTAATGTAGCGATAAACCAGGTTCTTCTCACTCATCTACCTATTGATCTTGAGGCGCCCGCATTGATATAACCATATCTTTTGCCTACAAGTCTGCGACATGTGTTGTTTTGGTGGTGCATCTGTTTTTTGTAATCCACCTGATGATATGGCGAAAAGGCATGAGTTGATTTCCTGATTGAGTTGCTGACCTCTTTACGTATTGATATCGACGATGTCAGCAATTTGAGCCACTTTCCAATAAACACATCTTAGATCTTGAAGTGTTCTTGGAATTCGTTGGTTTGATTTAACTGTTCCTCCGACGATTACGAAACTCTCCTCATTACTTCTTCAAATTTTTGTCTTTTCACGCATCATTTTATGAATATTTAGTTTAATAGACTGCTCGAAACTGATTCCACGCAGGGTTGCAGCCAAAACATTACAACTACTTCATCTCACACACATCGTAGGGACTGCCGCACCACTCTTCAGGACCTTAAACATAGTTGACCACCAGAACATGCGTCACTTTTTGCGACCGCTGCGCTTGTCCCACTGCTGATCAGCTTGATGGGCGTCAGTTACACGGCGGTTATTCTCCTACTTTGCAAGTATTTCTTGATGTTGGTTTGGTGTTGTGAATGCATGACTTCTACGAACTATCATTTCAATCGTGGTGTTGACGATAAGCATTCCGCTTTTTGCTATTTTTAGGATTTTAGTGCTTTTCGTGAGCCCCAGTTTGACAGCAAACGGTGGATCAATGAGGCGCTAAAATCCGCTACGGTGGAGCACAATGTACAGGTTAGAGGATTCTCTCTTTTCACGCTATCATCACCTTTGACATATGCGGTGTCTTGTCCCCAACACCTCCCTCTGAATCAATGGCCGAGTTGTGGCTCACAGAGATGATGCTCCAGCTGTATCTGCGCATTTTAGATTCATGATGTCTGGAGATCGCTCCTTTTCACTTAACTCCACATTGGTACAGTAGTATAAGCCCTTTTTGTATCTCACTAATGGACATACTGTGTCGCGTATGACCTTGCGTAATGCAACTGTTTTGCTAGCTACCTACTCGCATATTCCATGCGCATCAACTTAGCCCCTCCTTTCCACTTTTTTGTCACTTAATACGATTCGTCGTCGTCGTCGTTGTTGTTGTCGTTGTTGTGCGGAGCTCACTGTATGTTTTGAAGTTTTGCCTTCTGATACACGTTCCACAATCTACTGTCGCATTTGTGGGCAGTAGGCTATACCGATAGTTCAGCACAAAAATCACGCATTCACAGGGCTCTCTGATATCGATTGTTGGACTTTAGCATATTCACATTGTACGTCTGTTGCAAAGAGCAGTCTAACTTTGACACACTTATCGCCGTGCCAGGCGCAGATCGGTGGCCTGGGGCTAACGCATCAGCCGGTTCGTGACCTCAAGGATCGCAAGCCTGCTTTGTTATCCGAGGGCGCGGGTTCGAGCTTGAGTAGAGACCAGACGAACCTCACAGTATCATTAACCCACGTGCGACTTTTGGTGCTTGCGCAACATCGAAGCATCGGTACTGGTTGCATACCAGCTTACTGCTAATGCCTTTCTGTCTTAAGGCGTCAGACGTCCACCACTACGTCCCAGGTTCCAGCCACAGTTTCGGCTTATTTGAAAGAGACTGCGGTGTTAGTCGTGAGGCATATCGAAAACTTCTTTGCCCCACTCATGTCGCCTGTACTCCTACTCACTTGAGACCAAATTAGCTTGGCACTGTTTTTTAATTGGCCTATTGTATATGTTGGATAGGTATGAGCCAGCTTTTGTACTGCTCCGTTTCCTCACCGTGTTTCTTCCGTTCGATCGAGCAGGGTGTGTTTTCAGCTCAACTTCTGTGCCGATCCGCTGTTTGTGGAATCAGGTCGATTTGACCTACGGCCCCTACTTTCGGGATTCGAGTCAACACTCCTGCCTTAATCTGGTCGATCCTGCATTATCCCAATCCGTGTACAGTTGCTCGTTGATCGGACACCAGTGTAGACACAGTGTGTAGAGTATCTGTGTATTGCAGACAGCTTTCTGTCTAATCTCTTTTGACTCTAATGCTCTTGATTTTTAAAGAATAGTAGCCTAGATTATTGTGTTTTTGTGATTCGTCGCAGCTAGGCGACCAGACTGCTATCCACTCCTCTAGGAAGGCGCTAGACGGCCGTTCCGTCCTGTTGGACTCCTCTGTAGCGCGCATCCATCAGCGACTTACGCCAGTGAGCCATGGCTAATGACGGTCGACCACTATGCCTGGCATCTAACTGTGATATAGCGCGGCTCATCCTCCACTGCCTTGCATATTATGCATGAGCCGAAGACTGGGCTGGCCCGCGGCGCAACAACTTCCTTTGCCAGTCACCACCAATCTAGGTTGCATTTAAGCTGCTAAGGCGACTACTAATTATTTGTAAGTAGTATATGGATTTATCAGGGTTTTGTATAGATTCGTCGCAGTTAGACTCATCCATGATAGCGCTAGACGGCCGTGTCGTCCTAATGGGACTCATCAATAAAGAGCATCTGTCGGATTATACGGGATCTGAACCCATGACCTTACCCTTACGAGCCAGCGACTTATACCCGTGAGCCGTAGCTAATGACGGCCGACCACCATGACTGGTTTCTAATTGCTGTATAGTACCGTTCTTCCCCCACTCTTGCATGTTATGAACGTGCAGAGGACGACACGGCCCCAGAGCTACGACTATCTTTGCAAGCCGCCAGCAATCGAGTGGCGATTACTTATTGTTCGAGAATAGTACTGGTATTCACTACGTCTGATAGACGATTTACCATAGCTGGACTCAGCCAGACAGGAATGCGCTTTTTTGGTGACGGGTTCGGAGCTGCCTAATCTAGATAATAACCTCGATTGTGGTGTTGCCTAATCATTAGCCTGCTCTTTCCTCTGACTCCTCAGTGCGTCGCTACTACATCGCCATTTCCCTCTTGATGAGTCGTACTACATTCTGTTCGACCTTGCTCGGGCGTAATCATTAGAGTCCAGACTCATTACTTCGCACAACCGCTAGACCACGGTTTTTATACTCAGCCTCAGTTTTTTCATGCCACGGTTTATACCTACGCTGTTTTAGTATGTGTGCTGGAAGTTCCAACATCAGGTATTTTAAAACGATTAGTTTTATTTATTCTTGTCTGATAGTCTTTGCTCGGCCCTAATGGCCTCGGTACTGCGTACCGGCATATTGCTGATGCCTATTTGTTTCAGTCCACGTCGGTCTCGATTCTTTCATTTACACATTCGGCGACTTGCTCCCTTATTTTATACTTTACAGGAGAAAGCAACCGATTTAGTCCTCCAACTTCAAGGTCAGCTGAAGGTAAGTTCGGTTTCGTCTTTGTTACTTTTCTCGTCCCCCTGCTCTCTTTGTTACTTCAGTCGTTCGTCGTAATGTATTTTCTTCATTTCAGGAGGTTATGCAGACTTTGGACCGGACCCGACAAGATATTATGATTACTGTGCCTCGGTGAGCCCGTTTGCTGCTGATTTTGGAGATGCAGCTTAGCCATTTTCTACCATTCCGTCGTTCTTCTTCTCTTTGGCAATTCTCTGTGCACGCATCATTTGCAGCACCTAGTCTAGTCCTATTTGGCTTCCAGTTACATATGACCGCACTGATATCTCACGGATTATCTGTTGCATGCATTTTGCGACCTTCTCGTTATCTTGTACCTCCGGATAGTCTTCCCTATAATCGTCGTCATCGCCACCATTGTTACCACAATTTTCACACAGCAATAATAATATCATTATTAATAACAATAATTTCGTTATCACCTGTTGCCAGCACTTCATTCCGTGACCGTTTTCGTTCCTTCGTGAACTTCCCATGTAGTGATAACCGGAACTAGAAGTGTAACCTCGCACGCTGTTGTTTGCGTTTGACAATTGACGTTAGCAGTGTATGTTATCGTAGTTACGTATTCAGAGCTCGGAAAGCTCTTGATTTCCCCCGAATTAATTTTGTTTAAATTGTAATTCAGAGGTAATTCCTCACAGCGCACTCTCAGTTAGCAGACGTTGGCATGTCTGAAAAAAACACCAGCCAGCGCTGTTTCGACCTTCTGGATCTCCTCAGTGGTGCGCCTTCCTCGGACCCCTGCCGGGTTCCGACACCAGGACTCCTGGATGCCAGCAGCTAGTACCACTTAACCATGGCTATCCGAACAACCTCGTAATGCGAGGTGAGTGGTTCGGGTTTAACCCGTTCCGACAAATAGTTCGGCGGCAGTATTCCAGGATGTGATGGGTTTTCGCCTGGCAAGCGTTCTCCCTTTAATAAGCCACTAATGTCTGTTTATCAACCGTTTGGTTTTGCGGTTGTAACTCGCCACAAACTAAAATCACTGCCCCATGGACATTCGGATAATCCTATCCAACCCATTGACACCAATCGTCTTATTTCACATTGCTGACATAATCGAACAGTCAAAAATGCATTTTCATCGGTCGGAATTGTCAGATTTCTCCCTGGTCACTGAAAGCCCTGCTCCTTGGGCTGTCCCTTTGGATCCGCCCTCTGGCTCGGAAGTCGAACGTTAGATAGGACTGCTGAAGTTAAATAAAGCTGCGGGACCAGATGATCTTCTCCCAGCCCTCTTCAAATTCGGGGGGGGAGGGTGTATTCTGTTGTGGATGATTAACAAGAGTGGTATATTCAGCCCTACTGAACGATTGGCCCCTTAGATCAGCAGACATAAAGGGGCTAGTTACGTTCGACCACTGGTGCCTTCGCAATTTGACTCACATCTGATGGGAACGCCGAGTAAGCAACGAGCGTGTTCGACGCCTGGTTTACGGCCTAGGTAAAGGAAATGAACCGCTCAGCACCGTCATTTCACGCACCAGGCTCCGATGGCTCGGCCACATGTTACTCATGCCAGTCCACCGACTTCCACGACGTGCGTTGTTTTGCGCGCCGGAGGTGTGGATGGAAGAACAGGAGAGGTGGCCAAGCGATGACTTGATCTAGTTGCCCTCACTTCGAAGCTGGACACGGTTGGAGCGTCTCGGCTCCCTGGTTGGGATCCGAAAGACGATGAACACGTTTGGCTGGATACATTTGTTAACATGGATAGGAGCCGTCCTCAGTGGCGTTCGTGCTGTGAGTTGCTTTGTCCCACCCCATCCCTCTTAGCCTCCCACCCCAACCACGATCTCATTTCTTAGCCTGATGTGCTTAGTACCGGCCATTAGATTCGGACTAATGACGCATTCAAGCTAGTCTACACGGCACCGAGGCGCAACCCTAAATGAATCAGATAGCGTTTGTTGGCCACCGTTGAAACCATTGCAATCAGAATACTTCAGCCGGATTTGTGGAAACAGAGAACCCTGATACAATCTATACTGTTCCCGTGGCCGTAATGTCGGACCGCGGTTACGACTGAGAGTGACCATTGTAGACCTGCCGGTCAACACGTCTGTGCTTTGTGCGTGTGTGCGTCTCCGCGCGTGCTCGCCCGACTCATGACGTCTGACTGTATCTAGTGGACTATTGATCGACTTCGTTCAACCAATCACATCCCCAGCGTTCGCTTACCTGTACGTTTATCCGTCTTGTAATTGTAATTGCTTCAAGCGGATTGCCGAAAAGAGTTCTCTTCGCAAGTGTTATCATTCTGATGTAATATTGCATAGTAAATTTTTTTGCTGCATAGTAGCCGTTACCGGTAACTCAGCTGGTTTGCACCTGTTGCATTTTTTTCTCATATTTTGCTATGTATTGCGGCACCGTAGCTGAGGTGTTTCCCACCTCTAGCTAACCTGTTTAATGATGATGGTGATGGTTTGGTATTCGTAGAAGGCGACTACGTGTTCACAGTGGATGATCGCTACCTTTTCTGATAACCGTTTATCAGTCGAGATTCTTTCTAGCCCGAGTATGAATAGGTCATCGAAAAGGTACAGAAGCTTTAGCTGTATGTTATCGGTGGGTAAACTGACAGTTTCTATAAAGCCCACATGACGGACATCATCAAAGCTGTTCGATCGAACCAGAGAAAGATAGAGATGTGACGACAAGTAGTAAATCCAACTTTGCAAACAACTTGTCAGTCAGTATTCACGGTGTATAGCTACTATACAATAATCGTTCCTGATGCCCTTGTTTCTAAACACCACGATGCATTCGCATTTTATCGATCAGATTTCAACAAGGTGCTACCTAGGCACTCAAGGGTAGCGATTTCACCAAAATCGATGCGGATCATGTCCTCAGTCACACCGGACTGTCACAGTCGTACTTAAATCCGTTGAGCACATTGCCGATGGCGCTTGTCTATAATTAGCTCTGTTATGGTGCACATTTGCACTTAAACTTGCAATTAAACAAGGTCTTTTTACGCTACATACATTTTCTTCCACTTCATTTGGTTTCTTATGCTTATCTGAATATTCTTCTATAAACGTGCACATGTTGCTTACGGTAATTGTAATTATCTTCGTAAACTTTATCGCGTTAGTAGCATTACTTGAGTAACTTCTGGACATTTTGCGCTTCGTTGCTAACCTACGTACTTCATAAGCTAATATAGGGAAGAGTTATGTCCGCATAACCGTATGCTTTAACAGATATATTTTATTTGATAACGTCATTTCAAGTGATTAGCTGTTGCCTGATATCCCCGGTGTGGCTGCGCTTGATGTGCATGTTGACAAGGTGCCTACTTGTCTAGTACCCGCTACCTCGTCCATACTGGTTCCAAGCGGCAGTTGGTTGTTGCTGGAGGGGACGGGGTGCACGGTCGTTGTGGTCGTGCTATGCTCGACGAGTGGTTCCATGCACTCAATGTGGAGCGGACTGCGGTCCAGCCACCGCCTTGGGTGCGCTTGATTCCCAAATACAGCGTGTTTGTGTTTGTCTGTGAAGGAGTGTGGGCCGGCTCCGTTGATGAAACGTGGCTCCCATCCACATGCCTCCCGGTCTGATTCCATTCGGGTTTACACTGGATATGGGGTATGTAGATGAAGCTGTGGATGGTGCATCGAATGCCATCTATGGTTCTTCAATAGGCGCTGTGAGATTCTTTCTCCCACTACATCTATCTTAGCCTCTGACTCCAACCACGCTCTCACTTTTTAGTCTTATATAATTTTGCATAATAAATTTTTCTTCTGCATAGTAGCCTCCTGGTAGGTTATCGGAACGATGCCCATCCGTTTCTGGTAGCTCAGCTGACATGCATATGTTACACATTTTCCTTTCCTTCAAATATATTGCGACACACTAGCTGAGGTGTTTCCCACCTCTGGCTAACGTGTTTGGAGATGATGATGATGAGTCAAAAATGCAGCGGCACACTTATAAACACAAATCACACAGCCACACACATCCACTGCATACACACATACATTCACTGTTATGGCAATCATGCATTTTTGTTACCTTTTGATCACGCTTTGTTATTTTAACATGATGATGCCTGTGACGGCGTGCCTCGCGTTGTCGAGAATAATAATAATAATAGTTATTTATTTATTTATTTATTTATTTATTTATTTACTGATAGCCTTCCAGTCACTATGCTGAGCACTACTCTTGGAGCTCCTTGATTTAGCAGACTAGTTGTCAACTGCTAACAACTAGTTTCCGGGTTCCTCTCGCAGCTCCAAGATCTTTGTGAAGCGCAACTTGCTATGCAGGCTAGTACTGCTATTACTACTGCATTTAAAGCTACCACCACAACTACACGCGGAAGATATCCCCTCGATTGGTAACGACGCATCCACACCCATTTACTGAGCACCCGGACGCTACACACGACCAATCAGATCCCGGCTGCTGTCAACAGCGGAGACGATCGCAATTCGGCTCCCTAACCCAAAGCTGTGTGCACAGGAAATATTCATCCAAATTCTCACATTGTCTTGGCCACAAGGCAGCACAACCAACGATTGCAGTCACGCCGCTTCATCCAATTTCTCATCAACCAAATCACTCACGGATAGTCCTATCTATTTGGTACTTAGCTTCAGTGACTCACCGCATTTGGAAACCTCTCTTATGCTCATTCGTGCCTGCTTTATCATGGTTGTATTATCCTGATGATGGAACCCTGAAGACAATCTTGTTCCCTACTTTCTTTTTTCTAACACCGAAACGTCTGCTATCGAATTGCTCATTTTGGTGAGCAAATCAACATTTCACCACTCTATCAGAGTTACCAAAAACCCGACCTATTGCATACTTAAAACAGTTTGTCCCTTTTAAGATTTTCTGTAGTACTGATGAGTAGTTAGGATTATGGCATAATTCAGCTAATTCATCATCGCCACTCCCAATCAGTAGGCTTAGGCTAGTCTGGAAAAGCACCAGACGCCGGCGTTTCGACCTTATGGGTCTCGTCAGTGGTGCGCCTTCCTCGGACCCCTGCCGCGTTCCGACACCATGACTAGCCATTATTCTCTGCACAGTTCGTAACTGGCATTGCAGTGGAAGATGAGCCGGGCTATATCATAGTCAACTGTCAATCACGCAGGTCCGCGGCTGTCACCCATGGCGAAGTGGCACTAGCTGCTGGCATCCTGAAGTCATGGGGGCGGAACCCGGCAGGGGTCCGCTGGGAGGCGCACCACTGACGAGACCCATAAGGTCGAAACGCCGGCGTCTGGTGCTTTTCCAGACTAGCCTAAGCCTGTTGATTGGGAGTGGCGATGATGAATTAGCTGAATTTCGTGAAGTGCTGGGCTAGTGACGGTGGCCCTCTTATTGAATTTCAATCTCAATATGAGGTTCTTCCTGTAGAACGTTCCACTTTCAAACTTTACGACCGTTCTACAACCTCCCGAGTTTTTCGTTCACGAAGGTTATGCACACATTGACGGTACATCCAACGCGTAGCGTTTCCTGTTTCTGCCACCTGTACGCTCATCATTAATTTCTAAATTATGCCCTTTCTGATGTCAACGTGAAATTGCGACGCAATTTCTTTTCGCTAAATCTCCTCAGGCAATTACACTTATAAGCTTCATAATCATTTGTGCGGTAGCTATTGCCAGCGATGCGACACAAAGTCGTGAATGCTGCGATCGGATGAACGGTGGCTATCTATGTCTATTTGAAATCACAACCATTGACCACCATGCCAAAAGTCAGGTAGGTGACCAGGCTAGGGCCACGGTATGGTTAAACTCTGCATAAATGCACGCTGTTTACACAGTTCCGGCTTCAGTTGCTTGCTCGCATTTGCTTCCGCTGTAGCTAGTAGGCGCTTCCTGAGTCCTTTTATGCAGCGTTTTGCTTTTACGTATGCTATTTTGAAGACCATTTTCATTTGTATGTTATGTCCACAATCTACTAGGTGTTCTAGGATGGAGCTTACCGTTAAGTGTCCGATGCTTTGTTTGTTCCTGTATGGGCACCTCCTGCGTCACTGCATCGAGGATGTACGCAGTGGACCACTGGCCACATTCAAGCCTAGCGTCTGGGGATTGTTCGTCCCTCCAGACAATTTGCGTTCAGCATTCGCCGTTCCTCCCCGTATGCGTATGGTCAAAGATTATTCATACGTACTATAAACTTTAGTTTTGGATGCTGAGCCTTATACTCATTTGATTAGCTATCAGTAATACTTTGGAATAACTTGGCACAAATTGTACTTCTCTTTTGATATACATCGTTTTTGTTCCCTTGCTTGTGCTCGCACGCATTGTTGTAACTTTGGTTTCCTCTTCGCCCATCCTTCCAGAGTCCTACGTGAAGTTGAGGCGCTTAAATCAGATGCCCTCACGCTTGGCTCTGAGTTAGAGCAGTTGAAAGCCTCCCTCAGTGAAGTAAGTCACTTTCATCCCCATTTTGGTTGCACGCGGTAGTATCACCGATGCGAATTATCCACGTCTTTCATTCTTTTCTCAGGTGAACGCTGGCGGCCAGCAAACTATCACTCGTCTGGTCGAACTCGATCGGGAAAGGCGCAATGCACAAGCGGCTGCTAACGCATTGCAGGAAACTGTTCGCTGGTCGAATTTGGTGAATGGGATCGATGAATTGCTAGAGGCTGGTGAGCTGGATCAGGTGAACATTGACGTGTTACGCACCAGTTTCCTCGAGAATTCATGTTGCTTTAGTGGTCTGTTCACCGGTTACACCTCCACCTTGTCCCGATTCTTTCGGTACTTGTTTTGCTCTCCGTGCATCTAGCATGCGATGTGCTGAATTCCAGCGGAGAACCATCTCTAGGTGTTCACCAGCGACTCACCTATTGCCTATGTTCTCCACGTTTACGTTCTCCGTGTTGATGTTGCGTGTGCTTCTCTGCAACACTAGGTGCAACCATCGGTGATGTGTACTTGTGTACGGTTTTAAACGGTTGAATGCTCACCTCTAGTTTACTCTCATAGTTGTAATAAACCCAAAGCAATGAAAATCTGTCCCTTTAAATCGAGTTGGTTGATCGAGGATCAATTTGTGGAAATTACGGGCAATTAACTGCAGGTCGTCGATTTTCTCTCACTGCTTTTAGACCGAAATATTTGTCCTCGGTGGCATCTACAGCGGAAGTTGTTAAAGACAGTACAATCTTTTCGCAATTACATATTTGGCAGAGCGACAAGAAAGGCTTACTTAAGACTTACATTGTGACGGATAATATGGTAATAATAAACCGACATATATATATATATATATATATATATATATATATATATATATATATATATATATATATATATATGGTTGGCGGCATCCGGGTTCGGATTTGCCTGTCACTGTCGCCAGCCACATTACGCCTGCGCCTACAGAGGGATCATGGGTGGCTTGCGCTGCACCACCTACAGCTCCAACCACACACCCGATATCCAGTTTAAACCCGAAGGAATGTGACCGGGAGGCATGTGGATGGGAGCCACGTTTCATCAACGGAGCCGGCCCACACTCCTTCACATGCAAACACAAGCACGCTGTATTTGGGGAATCAAGCGCACACAAGGTGGTGGCTAGACCCTAGTCCGCTCCACATTGACTGCATGGAACCACTCTTAGAGCTTAACACGGCCACAAGGACCGTGCACTCCGTCCCCGCCAGCAACGACCAACTGTCTCCTAGAACCAGTATGGACGAAGTGGTGGGTAATCGACAGGTAGGCACCTTGTCAACATGCACATCAAGCGCAGCCACACCGGGGATATCAAACAACAGCTAATCACTTGAAATGACATCAAATAAAATATATCTGCTAAAGAATACGGCTACCCCGACACAACTCTTCGATAAATTAGCATATGAATTGAGGTAATTATCAACAAATCCGCGATAAGTACAAAATGTTCACCAGTCACCAAAAAATACTACAAACGCAATAACGTTAACGAAGATAACTACAATTAGCGTAAGCATTGTGGTTAGTTAATAGAAGATTATTCAGGTAGGCAGGACAAGCAGATAAAGTGGAAGGTAATTTATCCGACCTAAAATAATCTAATGTAAGGGTAAGTTGGTTAGGCCTAACTACGGTGAAGAAACATCATGAATGCAACGTCGGTGTCAGCATATATATATATATATATATATATATATATATATATATATATATATATGATGAATCTGATGGACGCGCACTACTGACGATGCCCAACAGGCTGCAACTGCAGTCTAGTGCTTTTTCGGGCATGTGGACGACTGTCTGATTTGGAAGCTGGCTGCGAAGAGCCTCAATAAATTACCTTGACTTTAGTCTACGTCAATTGCAGCTCCATTGGTGCCACTTTGGTGTGACCAAGTGGTGAGCATACAAGCAGGATATGGTCAGTTGAAAGGTATGAGACCAGTGCAGTTTTGGGGACATCCACAAAGATTTCAATTTTTGGGGACATAGTTCACGGTATTACGCTAAGCGACAAAAACCATGGACCTTCACTAGTGGCATTTGAAAAGTTGGTTCTTTGTCACATCTCAGGCGCATTGAGTCGATGTTAAAGTGCTTTTGGTTAGCAGAAGGGCATCACTAATTGCTCACCTCGTGTTTGCCTCTTTCTTATCTAGGAAAATTAAGCTTAACTTCTTCCCGTAAGGGAGAAGTAGTGAGTAGAGCTAATGGTCAGTGAGCCGATTCGCGGTCAGCGAGCTAGCTGCATCTCATGAGGAAATTGAAGCTGGTACTATAGCACTACAACAATGTGTTTACACTATCCGTACTGTCATCACGCCATCGAAGATGTTGTCCAAAGAGCATTGGAAGGTGTCCAGGACTGCAGTGTTGAGCTCATCCATGGAGACAGAGTCACTGACTTGGACTACGCCGATGGTATCGCTTTGCTGGGGGACGACCCACAAACTGTCCAGAGCGCTTTGGACTGCTTAGTGATGGAGGCGTCTAAATACGGCTTATGCTTCACTCCGGGAAGATGTCAAACGCTGCTCCAGGACTGGCAGGTGCCTGAACCCGCGCTCACCATTACTGGATTTGTTCTGGAACAAGTTCCTTTCTTTACTTATCTTGGGAATTACATCACGGCTGGTGATGGTGTTGGAGATGAAGTCTCACAGCAGATTGCAAAGGCCCACCTTGCATTCATCAGACTGAGACGTCTACGGCGTCGTCGTGATGTCAGTCTCAAACTCAAGGTCAGGGTGTGCAATGCTTTCGTCCGTGCAGTACTCTTGTACGGCTGTGAGACTTGGACTCTTCGCTCTGAAGGCATGAAGCGGTTGTCAGTCTGACAATCGCTGTCTACGAAGGATTGCTCTGGTCTGGTGGCAACACCTCGTAAGCAACGCAGAGGTCCGAGACCGAGTGCTTAGATCGAGTGGTGTCACTCTTCAGAACGTTATTCTCCAACACCGCATGTGTTGGCTCGGTCAGGTATCGCGCATGCCGGCATATCGCCTTCTCCGTCGAGCGTTATTTACGCTCCCCGGAAGTGAATGGAAAATGTGCCTTGGTGGACAGCCAATGACGTGGAGAAGGAGCATGAAGAAGGCAACCTCAAATTTAGCGGCAGTCGGACCAGTCCGTCTTCCAGGTTGGGGACCACGAGATGTTGGATCTCGGTAGTGGGAAACATTGGACGTCATGGTCTGCAACAGACATCAGAGGCGTCGATGTTTTTCTGCCATTATGCCCTTTATTACGCACATATATCTCACAAAACAAAAATAAAAAATTCAAACTGGCGTGTGTAAAACCAAAAAAGTCCTTATCCATTTTTAAAAATCGCAGTTCGTGTTTCTATCTTCTCCACTTTTTCCTTCTTCCATGGTTCTGATGGCACAATGTCTGTTAACAGACGGTGAATATGTACATACATACTGTCATCACCAGCGGAACAACACACTATCTCTACTGGTCGTGATACCTCGTTCTCACGAATTTTTCGCTTTTGACACTCTAGGTATAGTGCATATTGGTTCACGAGTTCTCTTGCAAATTTGGGAAGTACGCTTAATTTGCGACTGCGTTGCTCTCGGTACCTTTGGTTTTACTCATTCTAATTTTTCTTGTGTGCACGTGCAAAAGCTGATATTCTCACAATTTTGGATGATTGAACAGTGTATGCGGCACTGGGTGTATTCGTATGGCCGTGGAAAGTTGAACTACTAGGTCGTTACTGATTTGGATCTCATATGCGTAGCAAACTCATAACAGTCGAATATGGTTGAAAGACCAAGAACGCTTCGCGCCAATGCGGGACATAGCTAGGTCAGCGCACGTGAATGCGGACGAACAGCAGAAGGAGCAGGACCGATGCAAGCAAATCTACTGCTGCGTATGGTTGCCATGTGTGGCGGAATGATGGTAATTCAGATCAAGGATACGGGATTATAAGATGGTTCGACGGTTTGCGTACGTCTTTGACCCATTGAGCGATACCGGGTGGTGCCTTTGGCCGCCTTGAGGCCTACTGGTACCAGGTTGGTCATGGTTAGAGGTCAGACAAACTCAGTCTCCTGGTTCTCCGGGTTGGTGGTTTCAGATGGGATGTCGTATATATGTGTAAAAAGCCAAATTATTGCCACCTCCCCGCTGCCTTGCGGGCAGACTTTTGAGCCAAAGGTTTAGGATGAGGACTCTAGTCGTCCTCCCATATAGGTCTGGACACCCTGGCAGTATCTCCGTCTACGTATAACCAAGACTGTTTCTTCATACTCCAACCGCATCCTTCATGGGCCGTCGCTCAGCTCATCAAGGGTCACTATTTGCTTCCTACAGCAGGGCGAAAAGCGAAGCCCTGCTACTGGTGGCGACTCTTTTCTTTCCACCGATTTTCCTTACTCCCATCGTGATTCCCATTACTAGGTTTCTTCTGCAGCTCCCTAAGGATGTCATCAGTAGTTGTAGTTAATTGGGATATTCGGGTTCACTTCTTTCTTTCTATAACTCGCAAGCCCTGTTGATTTATCCATTTGTAAAATCCGCTCTTTTGTTAGTAGAAGTGTTACCTATCCTTGGTGCTGCATTCGTTCAACATGAGTAAGCACTGATCCTTTTCGGAGCAACAATTTCATTCGGACTAAGTACTTTCAGCCTATCGCCCATGCGCTGCTCGTCTCTTGTTTCTTTCACTCATCTGTGACATGTGGACCTTTTTGTCATTCAGGTATGCTGCAGTCTTGAAGGAATGGAACAGTGCCTAGTGAGTTATCACGTTCGACTTCTCTCGCTCATTTTCCGTACTGTAGTCGCCTTTTTGCCCATTTATGCAGCATATCTATCCTATTCCTTTCGTTCCCGACTTTTCAACATCATCGCCGCTGGTTTACCACAATTGTGGTCACTACTGCAACATTTCGGTTCTCTCCTCTTAGTCCACAGTACCAATGTTTTGTAAATTTCCATTTTAACTGTCTATCCCGTGAATGTTTGATTGCTAGCTTGGGTCACGTTTTCGCAGCTCATACTCTATAGATCCAACGGCTTACCGTTGGCACGCAGTTCACAAATTTTCCGTTTATGCACCGCTTGCGATTTTCCAAGTACTTGGGATTTCACTGCGGAGAACTTCATTAATAAACGCTCACTAGCTATATTTAGTGCGGATAGGTCCTCACAGATGTTCTCCAAACACATATGTAATTGGTCTAGATGAAATGAGTCAACTAGTTTGACGTCATCTGCAAATAGAAATGGGTGTCCATGTTTGATCGGGTCACATATATTGTTTACATAGATTAGGAAAAATAGTGGTCCGAGAACACTTCTCTGGAAGACGCCGCTGGTTATTTGTTTCGGTGTAGAATGATGCTGACTGATTTTAACTACCTGAGTTCGACCGTTTAGGTATGAGTCGAACCAGTTAAGCAGAGGATTTCCAATTCCGTATGACTCCAGAGCAGACAGCAGTGGCTTGTGCGGCACGCGCTCGAACGCTTGTTGCATGTCCAACAGAATTATACTAATTGGCATTCCTCGGTCACTCATAGTTGTGACATGATAAAGAAATTGTAGCTGGCATGTAACGCAGGAGCGTTTTGAGAGAAAGCCATGCTGTGAGGGGTTGATCAGATCCAGTCTTGTAAGATATTGAATAATCTTCTTCTTGACTATTCGTTCTGGGGCTTTGGAAGCAGCATACTTGTGATTTATTGAGTGGTAGCTTGGCACTTTATTTCTTGGACTACCCTTGTGCTTAGGCATTATAATAGAGTGCTTCCACTGAGATGGAAAGCAGGCGGTAGTGAGTGAAAGTGTGAAGATGTTTAATAACAATTGAGCGGGGTTTTCTCCTCTGAGTTTTATAACAGTTGGGGAGATGCCATCTGGTTGTGATTTAATTGAAATATAGGGGGTGGGTGACACTGTGAACATCGGTCACAATGGTGTTAACAATGCACTCCTACCCTATGTGACATGGCCTTCAAATCGGCCGTTGCCTTTCCACCGCCCCATCGTCCTTACTTTATCCACTGGGGATATTATATCAGTCTTCAACAAACTTTGATATTTTCCTCACCTAGACTAGTTACAAGGTTACTGCTAATGCTGCCCTCCATCGACTTTTGAAGGCGTTTTGTAACTTGTAATATGCTGCAAATATGCCCACGCGCGTACATACAGCTTAGATTGACTTTACTTGCCGTCGTTCTCTTGGTTCACCATACAACATTTGGCCCTGGATGTCGTTTTATTTCTAACTCCTTAGGATGCTCAACATCTTGGAAAATACTTGCAACCGCTCAAGAACTCCTGATTTCAGAAAGGTTTCAGAACAACCGGTTGGTATAGTTTATGGGCAGTCTTTCGCTTTTGACACAAAAGCTTCCTCAGGCCGAGTGAACCATGCACTAGTTGCAGTGATACGTTGACCTGTAACGCGATTGACCTCCCGCCTACATCCCATTCGTCGCGATTATCATCCCAGTTTGCTATAAGTTATGTGCAAATCCTCGACCTCAAGCCTTTCTGTAATCCTTAGGATGCTGTTTGCTGCACACTTTATTTTTGCTCCACACTCGTCCTTTGCGTTGGATGTTTTTATTACCATTTGACTTTGGGGATTTCTTGCATCGCTTGCGCTCAGATTTCACCTGCATGTATACATGAGCAATTATTTCTCAGTCGTTTGTCACCATAGACCTCCATTTGACTGTTCCCTCATCTCCAATACTGGACTTTTTGTTGTTGTAGCACTTTTAAGCATTCAGCGGATACTTTGCTCACGTTCACGGCTACATTGATACATTCAGACACTTCCAGGCAGTTTTATACGAAATAACGAAACTGTTTTCCCCCACATTTGTATGCGGTAGCAATTCAATCGGTACCAACTTCTTTTCTCTCTCTCACCCCTTGTTCAGACTGCTCTTAACCTACTTTCTGATTACTCTGAACGCATGACTCTCCTGGAGCGACACAAAAATTCCTTGGAGGCCTTGATTGCACCGCAGATAATTCACGCGTTGGATCACACCACAGCGGACGCTTGGAGTCGTCTGGATGATACTGAGCATGTGGACCGAGAGGCAAAGCACCTGATCAACTTGTTGCACCGGATAGGGCGAGAGGCGGCGGCCAAGAATTATTATACCAATTGGTTAAAGGTACCTTCTTCTAGACGGTAGAACAAGTTAATTCGTGTCACTGTTTCTCCATTTTTTCTTTCTTGTGGCTCGCGCGCGCCGTTTAATTGGATCCACTTTGCTTCCAGTCTTGAATACTCCTTTTTGTGATTATCTATTCCAGAGGCGTCCTTTTGGTGCTGGTCCTCGGATTCACATGGAGTTTCATCATGAGTCGGTCATTTCCGGATGTCTAGATCTTCGGGCAAATTTCACTGCGAAATCACTTTCCTTGCGTTGTTCCGCGAACAGTGTGAACGGCAGTGACGTGTTGCTATCCACACGCATTGCACTCACCAGTGCTGTACGGGCAACTGTGAGAAAAGAGCTGTACTGGGTATCACATTCGCTTCGGTACACTGTTGTCCCGCCCTGTACTTCACTGACCGGTCGTTTCATCGGCCAGTGGCCGAAAGGATTGCGCGCTTGCGTTGTAGTCCTGAAGTGACCGGCTTTAATTCGCTCAGGCGCTGGTGACCTCGCGGCATACGCTGCCCTCGCGCGAATAGTGATAATCGCGTGGCAGCGAAACACCGGACGTGGTGCCGGCGTGCTGAGAATGCCTGTAGGCTCAATTTTAACTTTCAACTGATCATCGTCTGTTATTCGGTCATCCCATCATCCTCTATGCTCTTTAAATAATCTGCTGGATTCGTGGAATCGCCCTTATAGGCCCGACCAGTCTGCATCATCCTGATTGCGGGTCTACCACAGTAGAGCTTAAGAAACTTGTCCATCCTGTCGCAGTCGCGGAATCGGTGGCGCTGCTGCATTCAGTAGTGTTAGCTCCCCAGATGGTTTTGTTTCGAATTCTCTTTTTCAGTCCGTCTTCTACTGTATATGAAGGCCTTGTTTACACCCTTCCCTCATCCCTTTTAATTAACACTTTAATGACAATCGTTACTACGGCAATTAGTTAGCTGGACTAAACGGAATTGGTTGCGAAGCACCCGGGTCCTATCCACTTGTCTTATCGTCGCAATTCAAACAGAGCTGCACCCGCACATACCAGACTGCTAGTGTGTGGCTTTGAAAGGAAGGACAGTCACAGGTATTCCGCTGCGCATTCTCACGTTCTGATGGCTCTCAATGGATCTATTTTTTATATTACTCACAGTAGCAGGATTTTAGTTGTATTTCTGATAAGGCTTTCATCCCAATAGTTCACAACCTACATAGCACAGCCTAGTCTGGAAAATCGCCAGACGCGTTTCGCCGTATTGGGGCTCTTCGGTGACGCGCATCCCCTTGGTCCCCTGAGGAGCATTAAACCCATGACCACTGGAGGCAGATGCCAACTAGCCAGTAGCTTAAACCACTGTGACATGAAGGACGTTGGCTGGGCTACATAATTTGTAAACTAACTGGGATATAGCACCACCTATGTTCCACTGTCACTGACAGTGGTTAGCCTGCTAGGTGATGACGTCCTCTCACTAGACGCTATATCCATAGCATTTGGAACTAGAAGAGGCTATTCTTATTTTATATTACTTACGAGTAGCAGGATTTTAGTTGTATTTCTGATAAGGCTTTCATCCCAATAGTTCACAAGCTACATAGCAGAGCCTAGTCCGGAAAAGCGCCAGACGCGCTTCGCCCTATTGGGTCTCGTCAATGGCGCGCATTCCCTCAGTCCTCTAAGGAGAATCGAACCCAAGACCGCTAGATGCAGATGCCAATTAACCAGCAGCTTAAGTCACTGAGCCATGGGGAACGTTGGCTGGGCTACATAATTTGTAAAATAACTGGGATATAGCACCACCTATCTACCACTGTCACTGACAGTGGTTAGTGGATCTAATTTTGTCACCGAGCTCTGGTTCCTGAAGCAATTGCGCCTGCACCATACACATTTTTGACATGTAGTGAGGCTTCTGGCTTCCCTGAAAACTACTCTCATTGTTATTCCCTGCTTCATAGTGTACGATACCCTCATTATTTTTCCTGTACCGCACAATGCATCGACCACAGTGGCGTTGACCGTATGCATCTGTAGGACTCATTTGGCTTTATGGAAACACAGCCATATATAGAAGTGGCAGTTGTTGGTTTATTGGTGAAGACCAGAGTGTAAAGCGCTTCAGTACCTGTAGTTTCCCTGTTCAGACGGCTATAGCACATAACAGAAGATAAGAGATCAGCCGTCTTTGACAAGCGGTGCTTCCCGAAATTCCACTCCTGATTGACATGACAATGTAATGAGTACCACCCCACCTACACTGACCACATCACATCGTCGCACACCTTCCCTCACCACAAAAGGGATATCCGGTGTCCAGTTAAATACAGTTAAACATCCATTATCATGGCACCGCAGTGCGATAGATCTAATTACCACCACCCAAGTCACCAGAGTAACCATAAGTAACAACGGCAAAAACGGGATGAGTGTAGCTAAAATACATGCAAAATGGAATCAGGATAAAAAACGCAAAACTAGTTCTGGTGAAATGAGTCAAGAGACGGAATGCAGTAACACCACTGATTGCGTTGCTACACAATGTCTGCTAGAGTCTACATCACTGGCGGGGCTGTTGGAGACGAGATTTCGATGCGCATCTCGAAAGCACGCCTCGCTTTTTCTAGGCTGAGGCATTTGTGGCGTCGCCACGACATTCGTCTCTCCATCAAAGGGCGGGTCTATTGTGCAACTGTTCGTGCTGTACTGTTGTACGGATGCGAGACCTGGCCCATTCGTAAAGATGACTTGCGCAGGCTATCCGTCTTCGAGCACCGCTGTCTGCGGTCCATTGCCCGTGTGTGGTGGCAGCACCACGTAAGCAATGTGGAAGTTAGACAGCGTGTCTTGGGACGTGGAAGCCACTCGCTCGAGGAGCTCATCTCACTGCATCAACTGCGGTGGTTGGGACACGTATTGCGCATGCCTGTCCAGCGTTACCCCCGTCGTGCGTTGTTTGCACTTGCTGGACAGGGCTGGAAGAGACGGTCTGGTGGACAGCCTACAACATGGAGAAGCCGCATGAAAAAGTTGACGAAACAATTGGCCTCGGCCGGTTGTTGTCGACTACCTGGTTGGGGTCCGAGAGACGAGGATACTTGCTGGTTGAAAACCTTGGAAGTTATGGCTCAAGATCGATGTCAATGGCGGACGTGTGCATCAGTGTGTTGCGGTGTCCCTTCCTCCTCCCCCTAAAAACGAACAAACTGAAAAAAATTTCAAAAACTGTGAGTGGTAAACTTGACAAAAAAAGCATTTCTTGTTGCTCTTTTCTTATTATTCATATTGTTTTCCTATTCAGCCATGATTCCGATGGCACAATATCTGTACCACAGATTGTGTATTATATATATATATATATATATATATATATATATATATATATATATATATATATATATATATATATAAGTCTACAACCACTGGTGTGGACTATCCAAGTATCCTACCTTCATCTCTTGAGACGGCATACACCAGCCTGACCAATTCCCTCGGTCACTTTCGTTATACCACGTCATTGGCTGGACTATTTGTCCTTGTTGGAGTCACCATGAAAGTCGGGTCTTTATGTTCCACTATATCCGTAGTCGGTTACCTCTGCGCAATCACGAGTCTGGTAACACTCTTGTGCAGTCTGTCGCCTCTTGTTGTTTGGTCGGTTTCCCATCTGGCATGGCAGGTGTTAGCAGCTAAATCCACCATGCTCCAGTGCTCAGGTCATTTTTCTCCCACTGAACGGAACAGGATTCACACCTGGTGTTTTGTGGATTTAAGTGGGGTGCTACCAACCCCCAAATCAGTCTTCATCATGCATCCTGCATGCTCATCATTAATCCCCCGTTTTTAGGGCGGTTTTGATCGGTGCTCATTGGACCCATCGATAGTATGTATCTGTTTATCCTTACCTTCACATCTAGTCATTTCTCGTTAATGTGAGATTACGACTCGTGGCCTTAAGGATCACAAGCCTGTCTTGTAATCCGTGGGTGCGGGTTGGATGCTGCGTAGGGGTCCGGACGACTCCCGCAGCATCCTTAACTCACATTCAGCTAGTAGTGGTTACGCGGCAGCTGGGCCTCAGTACTGCCTTCCGGCATACCGCTGATATCTTTCATCCTGTTTATACATTACGATGCAGAACTATACCATTTATGCCATCACCTGTTCATCGGTTCCCGTACATGTACCATAGCTGAGAAGTTTTACGCTTCTAGCTATCATGTATAATGAGTGGATACGCATTTCCCTCGGTCTACAAGGCCAGTTGTCGATGGTATCTTACCCATTTCCATATTCTCTCCGATGCACATTGTCATTCCCTGCGATCCGGTGCCTAGAATTACGTCGTCACTCGGTTCTGGTCATGAACTCCACTGGCGTTCATGTGTGTGTGCGAGATCATCGATTATGTGAGGCGACCTGTTTGTGACACATCCTCTTCCCTTACGCTATCTTCTCCACTGTCTTGCTTCTGTCATGTGAGTTGATGTTTGGTTAATGCACTGTTCGTTGCAGTGAACTCTTTGTTCTGACCGCCCTGCGCCCCGTATCATCCACGATTATAACACACATTTCCTGTGAAATACCTTTGGTTTTCCATCGGATCATCTGTAGTCGGTGTGTGCCCAGCTATGGTTGCATGGATTTGATGCAAAGGAGTTTGTTGCATGTTTGTTATCGCTCATAGTGACTGCAAATGCGGAAACCGGGTACTCACTTGTCCGGTCAAGTTTTATTATTATCGTGATTGCTCAAATATCGGTTTAAAAATGTACCGCGCCGCGATTCACCGCTCCATTTTACAGTTGCAGTTGAAATCCTATTGGGAGAAGAGCAGTCAACCACAACAGGCGTCCATAGGTCCTGCACCACATCGTTTTGTAGAGAAAATGTTGGCGTTTGGACCATCTGAGCCACCCGACCACACTTTCCTGTCAGGAGACGCTTCCTCGCAATGCACCCAGTCCCTCAGTCCTATCCTTCTGACTTTCTATGCCTGCATGATCCAGCTGTTTGAGCACCAAGTAAGCACCACTTTCCGCTCCTTTTGCATGATAAAATCTCATTGTTTGTCTCTCTTCGTATTGCTCTCTTGTGGCCAGCTCATTTGGATCGCTTCCGAATGTGTTTCACAACGTTTGTGGACTATTTTTTTCGCCAGAATGTGCACAGTATATGTATTTGTGAAAGCCTACCGATACCGCATACTGTTGTAGTTCACAGAACAATTTTCGTTACATTTCATGTTAGCATACAAAGGGCTCTTATGCTTACCTGTTAGAGCACTTCAGAGGTGTTATCGGAGCCACATGATCAACCTGTATTTTTCTCTGTTCTCTTACACTGTGAAACCATGTCTTACGGCTTCCGAACTTCGGTCCTTCATGGGCTATCGTTCGTACGATGAAACAAATGCAGCAAAGTTGGCGGCATAGCTTATCCATATATATATATATATATATATATATATATATATATATATATATATATATATATATATATATATATATATATATATATCCATGCTTGGCGACATCCGGTTTCAGATTTGCCTGTCACTGTGGCCAGCCACAGGACGCCTGCGCCTACAGAGGGACCATGGGCGGCTTGAGCTGCACCACCCACAGCTCCAACCACATACCCCATATCCAGTGTAAACCCAAAGGAATAAGACCGGGAGGCATGCGGATGGGAGCCACGTTTCATCAACGGAGCCGGCCCACACTTTTTCACAGGTAAACACAAGCACACTGTATTTGGAGAATCAAGCGCACACAAGGCGGTGACTGAACCGTAGTGCGCTCCATACTGAGTGCATGGAACCACTTTTTGATCCTAACACGACCACAAGGACCGTGCACTCCGTCCCCTCCAGCAACGACCAACTGTCTCCTGGAGCTAGTATGGACGAGGTAGTGGGTAATAGACAGGTAGGCACCTTGTCAACATGCACATCAAGCGCAGCCACACCGGGGATATCAAGCAACAGCCAATCACTTAAAATGACATTATCAAATAAAATATATTTGTTAAAGCCTACGGTTATTCGGACATAACTCTTCTCTGTATTAGCTTATGAAGTACGTAGGTTAGCAAGGTAGTACATGTTGTGTCCCCAGGCGTTCGACTTCTTAGATTGCGCCCCACGAGTCAAAAAGACAACGCACCGGACAGGAGGTATATTTGCGGAACACTACACGGGCCGGCGTGGGTATGAAAACACTCTAAGTCCAGTTCCAATCACGGCTGAGGGCTAATTTGAATTTATCGATCTCAAAGCACCACGGGACGTGTGACGGGTATGTAACAAGCGGTAGCGGTAACAATTGTTCTGCACACACAGAAAAAACTCTAGTCTACAGTTATGAACGATTACACAAGTCTACCTGTGTTTTTCTTTCACCTCCAACAGTACAAAATGTCCCGAAGTTACTCAAGTAATGCTACCAACACGATCAAGTTAACGACGATAACCACATTTACCGTAAGCAACATGTGCAGGTTAATAGGGGAATATTCAGATAAGCAGAAGAGACCAAATGAAGTGGAATGAAATGTATCTGGCTTAAAAAGACCTTGTTTAAAGCTGAATTTAGCGGGCACGCTTTGTGGTTGGGTTGCGACTCGCAACCTCTATTGAGACCTCGGCTCACTTTGAGGTTAACCTCGATCATTCCGATCCCGAGGACGGTATCCTGAATGGATATATTTGGGTGTTGCTCTTCCCAGCACTGGCACACCACGACTGCGGTTTTGTCTTGGGTTAGACTCGTCAGATGGAGATCGCCTGAGCTGGGCTGGAACTCGGAGTTTAAGTGTAAGTGTGCACCATAACAGAGCTAATTATAGACAAACGCCATCGGCATTGTGCTCAACGGATTTAAGTACGACTGTGGCAGTCCCGTGTGACTGAGGACACGATCCGCATCGATTTTGGTGAAATCGCTACCCTTGGGCGCTTAGGTATCACCTTGCTGAAATCTGATCGATGAAATGCGAATGCATCGTGGTGTTTAGAAACAAGGGCATCAGGAACGATTATTGCATAGTAGCTATACCGTGAATCCTGACTGACAAGCTGTATGGGAAGTCGGATTAACACTTGTCGTCACATCTCTATCTTTTTCTGGTTCGATCGAACAGCTTGTTGATGACCATGTGGGCTTTATAGAAACTGTCAGTTTACCCACCGACAACCTACGGCTAAAGAAGTTTCTGTACCTTTTCGATGACCTATTCATACTCGGGCCATAAAGAATCCCGACTGATAAACGGTTCTCAGAAAAGGTAACCATCATTCACTGTGAACACGTAGTCGCCTTCTACGAATACCAAACTATCACCATCATCAATATACACGTTAGCTAGAGATGGGAAACACCTTAGCTACTGTGCCGCAATACATAGCAAAATATGAGAAAAAATGCAACAGGTGCAAGCCCTCTGAGCTACCGGTAACGGATGGGCATCGTTCCGATAAGCTATCAGCCGGGTACTATGCAGCAAAAAATTATTATGCGAAATTATATAAGGCTAAATAATGAGATCGTGGTTGGAGGGTGTGATAGGGGCTGGAAATGCTGGGGATTAGAAACGCTATAGTGCCGATCGAACGTCACAGGCCAGACTGATAAGGAGTGAGCATGTTGCCGGAAGCTGATTGATCAACCATTCAGGAAATAGATGGCCCGTACTCACGTCCTGCCTTGAACTATCCACTGAACGTGCAAGTGACCAATCAGGCGCCAGCAGACGAAGGAGTGCATACTCTTGCACCCTTGAGCCAAGGTTAATGGCATTGAACCGAGGGAAGAAGCTCGCGGGCCCAATTCCGCCAATCATACATCGACTAACAAAGCCAAGGTGATTTAGACAGAGTGAACGTCGCCAACAAACCCAAACCAATGGAAACGGAGCCAGCGACACAATGTAAATAACAGGGATGAACCATTGTGACGGACTGTTTTAAATAATGTATATAAATGACTTATTGATCGCTGCCCAGTCTTCTTGCTTCCCGGGTGGCCACGCGACAGAGGGGAGCCTACGAGTGATGGGGTGCGACAAGAAAACTCACAGCATGAACTCCACTAGGGTCGGCACCTAGCCATATCAGTAAGTGTATTCAGCCAGTAATACCGAACCTCTAACCGTGGAATGTAGTATGAGTAAACGTAAAATGAAATGTTGGACAACTTTATTGTTTGAGTCCATGTCGAACGTTTCGGACAAGCTGGAGAGTAACACGTCACGTTATTTCGCATCCAAATTCACAAGAGACTAAGGGTACCCCGTATATGCTATCAATTGATGTGAACTGGAAGGAGCCTCCTAATGTGCTGGACAAAAGGAGAATCACGTCTGGCATACACTGGATTAATCCAAGCCTTCTCCTCAGCAGTAACGAAAGGGTTTCAGTTACCTGTACACAACGTAAATAACATATGCAGTGTGCGATGAATACTCGACCGCCATATGCCGACTTATACAGGAGTGTTTAGCATGGGTAAGCAGTCGGTGGTAATAGGAATGAAATAGTTACTGTTGATTAGAGGAAGATTGTTTCCTTCGGTGACACACAGTTAGCGGCCACGAATTCTCGCAGGCGGGAGTAGAGGCCGTGACGCAATCGCTAGGACACTAGCAACGCTTGACGCAGCGATTAGGAATCTAAGGTTCAGCTTTGGAGTGCCGATCATGCGGTTGAATTACACAACACAATCCCAACCGATGTACCAATCGTTGCCCATAAATCTCGGAGGCGTTTGGATCAAAGCGCCAGCCGTCAATCATTATGCCAGGAGTTCTACTCCCAGCTGTAGTTTCACGTCTTATTTAAGGAGTTGCCTACTGATGCCAGGTGAGATTCACAGGAAGTGGTACTTTTTAGAAAAAACGCAGTTTCAGTAGAAAAATATCGATTTAGATTGCCGATCGTCGGCATCTGTTAATCTATATATGCGTCTCTAGGAATACGAAGGGAATGTTCTCTCCGACAGACATCACACACCAAGAGAAACAATGTGGATGCAACGTCCCAGCGTAAACCAACAAGTAGCTCCGTGCCAAAGACAAAATTCTGAAGGCGAAATCACGTGGGTCAAATTCCAGTGAAGCAGATTTGGACCGTCGGATGTGCGACCAGTGCAGCTAAACACCATTCTTCATTTCAGCTTGAGTGCACCTGGTATTTTGACCGATAACAAACTGTGCGTCTGGTATTTAGACAGCTGGAACAGAAATATAGACGGTTGCATCCAGCTTGACTCCAAAGTGCTTCCCCTGATGGGAGAAGTGAGATGAAAACCATTCTTCGTGACTAGACAGGAAACTTGCGTACATGGCGATAGTTCCGCGTGACGGGAGAGCCTTGCCGATTGCATGCACTGAGCCGGTGTCGTGCATCGCACGTATGGTGTTTTGGTGCAGTAACGTTAAGAGAGCCAGACTAAGAAGAATGGTCACAAGTGGTGGGCTTGTGTTCAGACCAAATCACTTCACTGCATAAACTCATTTCGTGAGTCAAGCAGAGCAACTGCCGGTTGCTTCGGAACGCAAAACAAAAATCTCAACAAACTGTTCAGAAACAAGAGTTCATGTAAGAAGCGAAAGTGCAGTGATAGCTCACCTCAGATGCACTAGATAGCGCAGATGCACCTGCTGATCTGGGCGACTGGTCATCGAACTGACGGTGTGGTTTGAAGAGACAGATGCCGAGGAGCAAATTGAGGATATGGATGACAAGGAGGAGCATGTGCAGAAAGACACAGACGGGGAGTTGAGAGAAGCAGATTCATCCATGGGCCGCTTCAAGGTACTCCATGAGGTGTCTGGTTGCTGAAAACGGCTCAGGCATTATTCCAGATGGCTCCTTTTTCGTGCCAGTCGGTTCGATGGCAGTAACACTCATCCCGTCTTCGTTCCAGGAAGACTTCCAATGGTCATCGGTCACGTTGCGTTGACTGGCATATGAACCGTTCGTTGGCGCAAAAACGTTTGTGAATTCGGTGGCATATCTTCAAAGTCACAAATTTGTTGGGATATATATATGTATAACGCTTAGCTGCTACTATATTTTCGCTGCTTTGCTACAGCCAACAATGTACTGACGATGTCACTTCGATTGGCGCAAGTCATTACTTGGAAGAATAAAACTTTTACTGGGAAGTTTGGGTTTACATAAATCTTCTGTGACACCGGTCTTGGAACTCCTCCAACACATCTTGTTTGTACACATATAGTGGTAAACCTCAAAAGCAATACTTCAGCTAAACTTTTTGCGTGTACTTACTAAGACGCGATTACAGTGAATGTACCGCTGAAGTCTTTCCCTTGAAACATTTGCTTTTCTACCATACAACGTATCTGAGGTGTGTTACACACACTGTGGTAACACATCCGCTCTCGCCATCTGGTCCTCACACGATTGCTCATGTGATGTTGTGGTTTAAACGTTTGTCTTGTATCCTCCGCACTCCGCGTTGGTTTCTCCATCTCAGCCTTAGTTTGCACGCCTAGCGTCAGTGACCAATCGCGCGTTCATCCTCGACTTTTTCTGAGTACAATCAAATCTCCCTAAACTGACTCCTCATGGGACTGGATCAAAGTTGTCAACATAGAGAGGTTGTCAACATACAGAGCAGCGGACCGGTAATCCGTATGTCCGGGGTTCGATTCCTCTTCGAGGCAGATTATTGTGCAGTTTAATCGTGGCTTCTACTTTCTACAAAAAATACAGAAGTCTGTTTTCCCAAAATTTGCATTGTGAGTAGTGTTCAAGCTATGAGAAAAATACCGGTCAACTTAGGTGGTCCTTATATAGAGGTGATCAACTTCATATGTTTTGTTGTATGCGACTTGTTTGTTGTGTCACTGGTCTCCCACATTTAATCTACGTGTTCACTTTTGTGTATCACTATCACCTTGCTGATATTTCGGTCCCCATAGTCTACTTTGAATTCTTGTTCACCTTCAATTCTCAGGTTCAATGTCATCTGTTTGGCGCCTCTCACCCAATGGTTTTGATGAAAGCTTTCACCGATGCGCTCGAGTCGCTACACAGCACACGGACCACTTTTGTCCTCGGATCGACTGTGGATTCTGCCGATCTGGGGGGAACCCACCGAGCTGAACAATTATCCAGTTTGCTCAAGGTTTGCTCATTGATCGTGTCTTACTGTTGATGCTGTTAACTCCCAAGTGTTCACATGCACGCGCCTGTATCACATTGATCACTCCTGTTGACTTTTCAGACTCTGTTTTCCGCCCTATATGGCAATCTCATCGTCTGTCCCACTGCTTTTCTTAGCTGTTGCACCGTTTTTTTTGTCGATTCTCTTGATCTTTGTCCCTTGCTGTGTGTGGTATTACCCAATTCCACGAGTGCTGCCAATTCCAACTCTTCTGACTTCAAACCAACAATATGCGTCAGTTTTTAACTGAACATGCTGTTCACATCCATTGCTGTGCCCAGACCTCCTACTTTCTGCGCTAGAACTGACCCGGCATGTCTTATTCTCAGTCATTTCATTGTTGCTTTGGCTTGGCCTTGTGCTTAAGACGTTTCTATGAGTGAACTTACTAGTTTGGTTTCGCTCAATACATGATTCTTGCTAGTTTGTGCACTATTCGGATGCCGTCTCAACCTCTGGTCCCACGTCAATCACAATGTTTACTCAGTGCGGGATTAGATGTTTCGACTACCTAGCGCTGTAAAACCTACGCAATGATTCCATCACTAACTAGGTCAAACTGCACTGCTTCCTGGTGATCGACTTCTTAACTTAACGTATGCGGACGATATTCCCCTAATCTGTGACAGCTCTCAAACATGCCAAGCAGCACTGGACCGATTAGCACTGGCTGTCAATCGTTTTGGGCTATTCTTTGCTCAATCGAAATACAAAGTACTTCTCCAAGATTGACAGGGACCCACCTCTGCGCTAACGCTTTGTGGTGATATGCTGGAAGTCGTTCAGGAATGCAAGTACCTGGGCAACTATATTAGCACCCGTGGGATCGAAGATGAGATTACAGACCGTATAGCGAAAGCTCAAGGTGCTTTTGCCAATCTCCGCTACCTGGGGCGCAGACACGACATTACTCTCGCCCTGAAGGGCAGCCGTCCGTTCAACTCTCCTATGTGGTTGTGAAACCTGGTCCATCAGGTCGACAGACATAAAGAGGCTCGTCACATTCGATCATCGCTGCCTTCGCAGCTTAGCTCATGTCTGGTGGGAGCACCGCGTGAGCAATGAGCGTGTACGGCGTCGCGTATTTGGTGCACGAAGAGCGAGTGAACCGCTCGGCACCATTATATCACGCACCAGGCTCGGAAAGTTGGGCCACGTGTTGTGCATGCCAGCACACCGACTCCCGCGACGTGCATTGTTTGCGCGTTGTGGGTGTGGTTGGAAGATGAGGAGGGGAGGCCAAGCGATGACTTGGTCGAGATAAATGAAAACCCTGACTTCGAAGTTGGCGTCGGTTGGTGCATCCCGACTGCCTGGCTGGGGTCCTAATAAGGACAGTGAACACGTTTGGTTGGACACACTTGCTGATATGGCTAGGAGCCGGCCCCAATGGCGTTTGTGTTGTGAGTTCCTTTGTCCATCCCCATCCAATCGCGATCTCACTCCTTAGGCATGATATAACTCTCCTTTTACGGCACGATAGCCAGCTGTTAGCTCTCCGGAACGTTTTTCCTACTGACTCTTGCAGTTTTTTCTCGGAACAGGCTAGTCATCTCTGTTTATTCTTGAAATATATGATGAAGCCTGTCACTTCAGCTGACTTTTGAAACTTAGGTCGACTCAACCTTCATGTGTGTTCTTCCTACTGCCTTCATGCTTTTACATTGTATCGGGTCTATTTCATATTTTTCTGTTTTGTCCTTAAGGTCATACACGCACACGCTTGACGTGCGTGCTCCTGTGTCATTTGGATTATTCATCTATACCCTCTCTCCATCTTCTCGCGGCGTTGTCACTATACACTCGTTCGAACCGGATTCACTATCCCTACACATTCATCCATCATACGTGGAATTATCTTCTACGATGAAGTCCGTGTCATCACTAACCGTTTTCACTGTCATCCGTGATTAAGCGCAAGCGAATAACTGAATCACATTGAGCCGATTACCTTTCCGTGTGACACCGTTCTATACTGAATTCTCGAGGAAGTCAGAAAATCCTAAGCTTGTTCCAATCCGGCGTTTCTCAACGCAGCTGTGAATGAATTTGTTCAGATTCACTTAGCAGGTCCCATTCACTAGGCATTCCTTGTGACCTTATCAGCCAAACGCCTGCACAACCCATCAAACAGACCGCGCGACCCTGCCGACCGCTCATTTAACCTTGCAACCACAACGCTCGCCTGACCGATGTGCACCGCTCTTAAAGCTGGTTAGGTACAGAACGCAAACCGACCCACTGGTTGAGGTATCGACACCACGTTGAATGGCAGAAAGGCGAATTCGAAAAGGCTGCAAGCAACATGCATTTGTGAGTCAGGAGGATTTCATCAATTATTTAAAATAGGTTTGGCTTGCTCGCACTGTTTGGAATTGTATCATCCGAAATGTGCAAATGTGTCCCAACAACAGGTACGAGAGAAAAATTGATCACGAGATGCACTTTACTTTCTTACTGCGTGTTTGGCCATCCCACACGATCAATGCTTGCTTATCCTTGCTCAGAAGTGCGACCGGCTAACCGCAGAGGCCGAGCTGAGGATAAACGATCAGCTTACTTCAATGGAAGCGAGTATGTACTACGGAAGCGTAGCTTCCTCTATGCAGTGGAATGATGCACAATCCGCTTCCACTGAACTGCAATCAGTCACCTCCTTATCTCTGTTGTATTCTCCAACTTTGGTAGAACCTCGGACGAAAACTGACATTCGAGAGTCAAACAGTAATCATGGCAACGAAAATCAGGCACCATTCGAAACGTCTGGTTCAGTAAATTCCACTTGACCTGACATCTAGCATTAACAAGAATGTGGCAGCCGAACACCAATCCTCGATAACTCTACCTCAAATGTCTCTTGTCGAGTCAGAGCCCCCCGGAACCCCAGTTATATATGCAGAGATTGATGCAACGATCAGGCAGGAGGCCGCCGTTGTGGCGTCTTCTGTTGTAAATACCGTTAACGCGAATAGGGGAACAAACAGTAAACAATCAACACTTGTCAGCAGATCAAGACAAACGATTACCCTACCTACTAGATCAACAAAAAAGAAATCCTACAATAGTACCTAGACTGTTGTATGCTCAGATGTTCCCCAATCTGCCACAATCACATTACGGTGTAAGTTATCGGACGACCAAGACCGATGGAACTCGCTATACGTACTGATGAGTATCAAAGTCAAACCCATAAACCAAGCACGGGTTACTCGTTATCCGAGCTCTGCACACTATGGTGAACCCAGACTTATTCGGGTAACACTAGAATCCTCCACCGACGTAGAAAACATTTTTCTCTCTGCAAGCGCGCTCAATCACAGACCCTGTGGGATATGCATCTATTCTGAAATCCCTTGGAGCGCGACAAGCAACACCGAAGACGAACGCAGCAAGCAAGACCACCGAAACACAATCTTCATACATGGCGTGCCATAACATCCTTCTAACAATTTTCAAGCGCCCGGAAAGCACCATTTAGAACAGTGGTGGTTCATTCGTGCAACACTTTCTTTCGATAATATTGTGGCGCTATCGCTCATCAGGATACCTCTCTCACCAAATTATAGAGGATGCGGACCTATAATACTAAGGTTAGTGATTCAGTTAGGGCAACAAGCAATGGATGTATTGGATTGATGGTGGAGAAATCCGAATAGTCTTCCTTCTGGACTTCGGTCAAAGGTCGCAGAAGCTTTGCAAAATTCTCTCTGTAGACCAATTTCGTGTAATTCAGGGGATTCAACACGATTTTGTGAAGACCATATATAAACAATGCCAGTCGAAACTTAGGCAGAATGGAATCGAAGAGCCTAACAAGCGGATCAGTAAACCGAAGTGCTCTAAAACGCCCAGCTCGATTTGTGCTACACCACAGTCAGAGAAACAGCCAGCGTTTAGTATAACATCGCATCTATCCCTGAAGCAAAGTACTAGCGCTTCGGCAGGCTCGCGCTCAAGGCCTACGATTTGTTCTGTTGACAGTAAAGCTCCAATTTGCAATAAGCAAATCGGTGATAACTAATGGAAAATGCAAGCACCAAAGAAACCAAGAGCAATGTCTAGCGACGTGAGGCGCCACAGCCTCATGGTCTTTCACGCACCTGAATCATATGGTTCCAATCCTCAGGTGCGCTATGAACATGACGTCGTTTTTGCAATCTCTGATTGATAGACTGCTCGAAGTAGATGAGAACCGGCTCAAAGAGAAACAGATTGCCAAAGGTTGACCTATGAGGGTGACTTTTGTCGAGGAGGCAAGTCCTAAGTTACTATTGTCCCGTCTTCATACGCTGATAGGTCTAGAGATCTGTGTGCGCGCAGACAGAGAGAAACTCAAGTCTGCGATGATTGAACTAAAGCGACGCACGGACGATGGAGAAACAAATCTCCGTATTGTAAATTTTCGGGTAGTTGCCCCGATTCCTCCGCGAATCCGGATCAACAGGTTTCTGATGCTTCAGGCACGCCCAGCGGTTCGTACCACGGTCTGCGCGTAGGCTTTACTAACGTCTGCAGTCTGATGAACAAGCTTGATATGCTGCACTACTTTGTAAGCTCTCAGCGACCAGACGTGTTAGGCCTTGCTAAGACATGGTTAAACTCCGACGTAACCGCCCAAGAAGTGGAAATCGGCGACTACTCATGCTTCCGCTGTGATAGACCATCAAATGATCGCGGTGGCATACTACTTTACATAACGTCTTCCTTGTGTGGGAGAGTAGTGAGCGCCTGCCGAAGCGCTGATGGTCTATGTGAGCCACACCACCTCAGACGTTGCGAGTTGCTCGTGGGTGTGGTATATCGCAGTCCACTGAGCCGCTGTTTGGACTGGTTGCCGCATGTCCGCAAGCACATGAGTCGTCAGTTGTTCTTACTCATGGGCGATTTCAACTTACGCCGAATACAGTGGCTTGAGGCTGAACTTCTCCCCGGCCACTATGAAGTCGAGAGGAAGGTTACGT